CATTTTATATTCACTATTTTGTTTTTACTTTTTATTGTGAATTGAGTGAAGGTTTACAGAGCAGATCATCAGTTTTACGTTCAACAAACCATACACTTTGCTTCGCTACATGGTTGCGATTCCCTCCATGGACCAACAGTTAACAGCATGGACCTCTATTCACTTTAACTACTGTGTTTCTCCCTGTGTCTCCCGTTACCTTCATCTTTCCTCTACTAACCTCCCTCTTGTACATTGCCTGTCACCATGTTTATATGTATCTACCCTCTAACCTGTGAATATTTTTCCTTCCCCTCAACCCCTATAACCATCATAGATTGTTTCTTTTATTAAGAGAACCATTTTTTAAAAACTTTTTACAACATTGGTGTAATACAAAGTTTGTTCTTTTGTGGTTGACTAATTTCACTCAGCAAATGCCCTCCAGGTTCAACCATATTGTGGGTGTTTCACAGATTCATCAGTATTCTTCAACGTTTCCTAGTATTCCATTGTGTGTATGTACCAAAGCTTGTTTAACCATTCTTCTGTTGATGGGCATTTAGGCTGTCTCCATCTTTTTGAAATGTCTGTTGTTGACAGCATATTGAAGGATCATGTGTTTGTTTTTATCCGTTCTGCCCTTTATGTCTCTTGACTGATACATTTAATCTACTTATGTTCAGTGTAATTATCAATAGGTAAGAATTGATAGCTGTGAGAAGGATGTGACAGCAGAGTTCCTGGCCCTAGATGGAGCTCCTTTTGGCCTTAGTGGTACCTATATTCAGGGTACTCAATCTGGAAGTAGTTCATAGGGGTCCTTGATGGAGCTGCTCTCAGTGTCTGTTATGACAACAGGGAAGCTCAGGACAGGGTGACTGGTTAAATGCTGGTCTAGTGGCTCTGTGGTGTTTCTAGGTCTGGAGCTGAATCCACATGAATCCAGGCACCAAAGCAGTACAGTAAGCCCCACCTCACACTGGCATGGCTCCCATCCATGTTGCTCCAAACTCCTGGAGAGCAGGGTCTTCGCTGGGGGAACTTGCTTTGGTCACCAAGAAGTGTGAGGAAAAAGAAGAAATCATACCTTTCCCATCACCCACACGAATCTGCTCTGCCAGGCCAACTTCTGCTGCCCAAGCTGCTTACAAGATGGTCAAGCCACGTCTGGCTGACTGTTCACTGGTCAGTCTCCCTCTCTCGCCATCCCTACTCATCCTCTCTTCCCAGCAAGCACTCCATCCTCTTCTCTAACCTTTCTTATGAAGTTCAGGGTGGCAGAATTTTCATCTGTGTCTGTTTTATTTGCTCTGTCGTATTTTTGTTTAAGAGCGTCCGTGTAGAACATCTGCGTGGTCTGCCATCTAACAACAACAAAGTTTACTTAAACGTGAAGATCTTCCTGAATTCAGACTCAGGGCATTAACCTGGGCATTCTCTATGCTAAGTAAGATACCAGCTATAACAAAACTCCAAAATAATAGTTGATAAAACAAGAAACCATGAAACCATTGTCTGATAAAGCAATTCAAGTGGACAGTGTTTTGTTCTGCTGTGTATAAGGTTGCTATGGGTTGGTACTGACTCGATGGCACCTAACAACAATAACAACCATTCTTCATAGATCCTACTTTATAATTCAGCAGGGTTGCTGCAGCTCCAGACATCACGAATACATTCCGGCCAGTAGGAAAAATAGAAGAGAGGGAATGGAAGGCATCACTGTTCTTTGTAATACACCCCTCAGAGACTGCACACACTACTTCTGATTACACTCCGGTGACCAGACCTTAATATCATATTACCCCACATGCAAGGGGCCCTGGTAGTGTAGTGGATTAAGAACTGGTCTGTCAACCACAAAGTCAGCAGCTCGAATCTGCTGTGAAGAAAGATGAGACTTTCTGCTCCTGTAAAGATTTATAGCCTTGGAAACCCTATAGAGGGTTGCTGTGAGTCGGAACCCACACGGTGGCATGCAACCACCACAACCACCATGTGCAAGGGGAGCTTGAGGGTGCAGTCTTGTGCTGAGTGGCAAAGATTCTACTAGAATTTGAGATGGTATTACTAAAGGAAAGACGAGCGATGGATACAGGAGGCAGTTAATGTTGCTTTTCCCACTTTCCTAAGAACGCCTTTATTCGATTAATTTCTTTATATATCTTTTTGATACCAGAACCAGGGTTCTGCCTCTTTTGAATTCCATTTGCATCTCTGGGAAGGCAACTCACATTTATTGAAAACCTACTGTGTGCTGCTGCATCTGTGACATCAGTAATCTCCAATTTCTTTAGAGTCCATGCAGTGAGATGATTTTCCTCTGTACAGTTGCAGTTCCCTAGTCACAATGCTATCAGGAATGCATATGTTTCAGACTGGGGGACAGGCTGCATTCATTAGTAGTAACATTAAAGAGGGTACCCGCTGACTCGGGGTTCACTCTCTCCCTCCCAGCGGCAAAGCCAGTGCAGAGTGGACTCAGTCCCCCTGAGATTGGCCAGGTCACAGCATGGAGACGTGGTCCCTCGGGTCAGCTTCCTTCAGTTTGTTTGATTGGGACGACAAGCATACATCACAGGTACTTACTAAACCTGTGGCGAACCTACAGGGGATACTGTATCACGGTTTCTCAGTTTTAAGTCAGAACCACTTTCTCTGTCTATGTGAGGAGTTCTCTCAGTGGTGAATTCAGGAGGTACACAGGCTTTTTGAAAAGGTTCTGGTTTGGGAGTGGATTTTCTCCCCTGAGCATGGGCAGGAAAGTATTGGGAAGGTCTGCCCAGTAAGGCAGGGCAGATGGAATGTCACTATCTTTCCCTTCACCCTCTAGACCACCTACCTCCTACCTCTCTTTTCTGGCCATAACATACCTGGGCTTCCTTTGGAGAATCTACCTTTCCAACCTCAGACCTTTCTTTTCAGTGGGGCTAACGTTCTGGACTGCAGCAGCTTTCAGCATGTGAGCTGGCCTGGCCATTTCAGCCATGATCATGGGTTATCCAGTCTGGCCAATCTCAGCCTATGCACAGGTGTGAGCATGTGACCCAGGCCTGGCCAATGACAGCCCTCCCTGAGACTATTTAGGGAGCTAGCAGGAAAGAGAAGCCTTCTTTTTGCAGGCTGGAGCTGGTGGCTCTTTGTGCCACCTCTTGGAGCCAGTCTGCCTGAGAATGATGCTGACAGGGAGAGATGTGGGGTCAGCCCACCATCTAAACCACTGCAACCAGCTGTGCTTGTAGCCCTGGGCCCTTCATTCATGTGAACCAAACTCCTCCCTTGTGTTTCAGTCTGCCTGAGTTGAATTTCCTGTCACTTTAAACCAAAGGACTCCTGGCTGGCATCACCCGGTGAGACAGAGCCATGAGGGGCAACAGTGGAGACCCCAGGTATCCCTGCCTCAGGCCCACCACAGCACTGGGATCCTCCCATCTCTGGCCCCTCCACCCTTGCCCAAGGGAGTGACTCTTGGGATCTACTCCTTGACCCAATTCTCATTGCAGGTGGGGTGGACATTGCTCAAGTTCCTTACAGTCCATTACTGAATCCCCTCAAGGTCAATTTTGAGATTCCCTTCTGAAGATAAGGTGGCTCCAAGAGTTAGGAGAGGACTTTATTGTAGTTTTACAGGTCCCCTGATTCTGGCTCACCCAAAGCTGGACAATCACTCACCTCCCACTCCTATTCCTCCACTGCCTGCGGGGCTCTTGGTCATTTGCTCTGCTGACTGCCTAGTCCGGACCTCTGGGGACCAAAGATGAGGTGGAAGCAGTCCAGTTTTAACTCATCTCACAGATAAGATGCTTAAGAGCAACAATAGGCACCAGACATTAGCGCTGAGCTTTTAATGTCCTGGTTTGCCTTTTTCTCCAGGCAGAGCTGGAATTGGGAGTGGGGAGTTACTGAAGTCGACCCTGGCAGACTTAGAAGTGGACTGGCAGTCGATGAAGACAGGAGCTATAATCGGAACCTGAGCACCCCAGGAAAGGTGGGCTTGGCAGAATCTCCCACTGTTGGTTTCTAAGCTCTGTGAGAGCAGAGTGACACTGGGAACTCAGCTCTTCATTAAACATGAGCACGTGGACGTGACTTTTCAGCGCTCCTTCCTGATCTACAGACGTTTTGGCCTGAGAGCTGAGAGAAAGAGCTGGCAGAAGGGTATACTGGGTCTGGGCACCCACGCTGGAGGTGATGCCTGGACCCTGGGTCCAGACTCCAGGCCCCCGCTGCTGGTGTTTTCCCCTCCAGGGTTAGACAAATACATTCCCTTGATTATCCATTCTTGCAGCTGGACTTCCAACCCTGGTATGGCCTTGAACATCTGGCTAATTTTTTAAAACCTACTGAGGCTGAGAGAAACCCTATAGTCTGGATTCTCAATAGCAAAATGAGCACATATCAAGAGTTGATGATCACAGTAATTAATTAATCATATTAATTGGTATTATTAATAACATTAACTGTAGTCTGTACATCTCTTTATCTTTATACACACACACACACACACACACACAGAGTCTCATCTAGTCTTCACAGCATCCCTGTGTGGGAGGCAGGTCCAAAACTGGAATTTCTGTTCTATGGAGAAAGAAAGGGAGACCCAGAAGAAAGCAATTGCCCAAGGTCACGTAACCAAAAGTACAAGCCGCCATTGCCAAAGAGATTTAGAGAAGACTGTTAGGCATTCTCCAGACATTCATTTCTTCATTAATCTTCCATTCATTCCTTTATCCAGCAAGCATTTATTAAGCACCTACAGTGTGCCCTATTATGTGCTTGACACTTACCCATAAGCAGGAACACTTTTCCAGAGAACAAGAGTCCTTTTGTCCCTGAGAGATGAGGGAGGAGGGCAGATCCCCCCAGCCCCTCTATGAACTCCAGATTGGAGTTTTGGTGTATGTCCCTCCTCCGATAACCCCCACAAGGGGGTAGCTTCATTTTTCTCTCATTATTTCTCCTTTTCTTTTCTTTTCGATCCCGGAGCCTGTGTGTCCTCCTTCCAACAGGCACCCTCATGGTGTGGTGACTATGGCTTGGGGCAGGTGTGGGGGTTGTGATTCTCCTACAAGGGGCAGCGTTCTACGCAGGGCTTAGGCTGGGGCCACCTGGCTGGTCTCCGTCCTGGAGACAATGGTGGCCTCTTCCTCACCAAATAGGCTCTTGCCACAGCAGATGGTGGTGAGCATGCAGTTCCGGAACTGAAAGGCAAGGAGTGGGAGTCAGAAGTAGGGTCTCTCAGTGTGGGACCCTGGCACACTGGTGAGGGTGAAAATTTTCTTATAACTCTTTCCTTGCTTCTGCTACTCATGGCCTCCAACCCCCTCAAACGCGGCAAATTGTTCAGCAGAAATGACCTCCACTCTAAGATGACAAATACCAAACGCAAGGGGCTTTGTCACCAACAGAAAGAGGAACTAACATGCCAAGGGCTTCCTATAAATTATTTTTCCATGAAAGAGAAAGCTGAAGTGATTTGCCCAAGGTCTTACTGCTAGAAAATGGCAGCAGACCCCAGAGACTCTTGTTATTAAGGGCCATCAAGTCGGTTCTGACTCATAGCGACCCTGTATGGGGTTTCTAGGGAGCAGCTGGTGGGTTTGAACCACTGACCTTGTGGTTTGAAGTCCAGTGCTTACCCTACAATGCCACATCAGGAGTATATTGTTGTTGTTAAGTGCCGTGGAGTCACTTCCGACTCACAGCAACTCTGTTGAAGACGGTTTCTGAGGATGGCTGGTGAGCTTGAACTGCCAACATTGCAGCCCAGTGCATGAGCCCACGGCACCACGCCAGAACTCTAAGAGTCTATTGTTGTTGTTGTGAAGTGCCATCGAGTTGGTTCCGACCCATAGCGACCCTGTATAGGGTTTCTGAGGAGCAGCTGGTGAGCTTGAACTAATGACCTTGCAGCTCAAACGGCTTTGCAGTCTGGCGCATGAACCCACAGCGCCACGCCTAGGGACCTTCAAAATGTTCATGGAGTCCTGGTGTGGCGCTGTGTGTTAATGTGCTGGATTGCAAGGTAGGTTTGAACTGAAAGGTCGATGGTTCGAGCTCACCAGTCAAGTCTCAGAAACCCTATACAGGGTCGCTATGAGTCTGAAATGACTTGACGCCACTTAACAACAACAACAAAATGTTCATGGGAAAATTCTATCATCTTTTAATTCCGTATTTGCACGTGCTTTTTGAAGACCCTTGGTGTTTCCTTCTGGGAACTTGGGCAGGGACTCTTTAACCTTTACAGAATGAGACTTTTGAGCTTCTTGTTCAGCTCTTTGTGAAATGGTACTTTCCAATCCCAGTCCAGGGACTTGGGCTATTTGATGGTAAAACAGACTTCCTAAGCCACCTGGACCAGTGTTTGTCCAGTTTGAGCGAACATCAGAATTCTCTAGAGGGCTCGTTAGGAATGCAGACTCCTGGGCCCACTTCCAGAGGTTCTGGTATAGGGCTGGGTGGAGCCCAGTATCTACTGCCCCCTGTCCCCCCGTTGTAGAAGTACCTGCTTATTCATCATGATATAGATGACAGGGTTGTAGATGGAGGCGCTCTTGGCGAAGAACGCCGGGAGGGTCATGAAGATGGGCCCAAAGTTGGAGCCCTGGTGGGTGAAGATGTACAAGGCCACACCAGCGTAGGGCAGCCAGCATACCAGGAAGGCGATGACCATGAGGATGACCATGCGCGTGACCTCCTTCTCTGCTTTCTGGGTGGTGGCCGACTCTTGCTGCTGGGCAGCTGCCTGCAGGGGGAGAGGCCTGGGCTCCAGACTGACTCCAGTCAATGTACCTGTCCTCAGGACCCAGCCCAGTGGGGCACTGAGCAGGGGCAGGGCTGGGCCCACAGACCTCCTTGACTGTGAAGACCAGCTGGCCGTAACAGAAGAAGATGACCACCATGGGGATGGAGAAGTGGACCACGAACATGTAGATGACGAAGGACTCATTGCTGATCTCAGGCTTGAGCGTGTAGTAGTCGATCCCACACGAGCACTGCATGCCTTCCGGGATGTACCTGAAGCCAGGAAAGGAGGGCCCCCGCTCAACAGAGTCTCAGACCATGCAACACACTTATTGTGGGACCCTGTACCAGCCTCTGCCCTTCTCTGGGCCTCCCTCTCCTCCTCTGTAAAATGGGGAAAATAAAATACCTACTCAGCTGGGCGATGGTAAAAATGGGAACAACTGACGTAAGGGAGTCCCATGGGCCTTGTGAAGAAACAGTGTGGTTTTATCAATTTGGCAGCAGTTTGATCATGAAAGAATGCCTGTCTCTAGCCCAGCCCAGCTCTCAGCAGTACCAGGTGACCCCACATCTCCCTGTGTGGCTAGCCTCCCCAGTGTTTCAAGTTCTGTTTCTTCCTCAGAAGCTGGAGGTCAGGGCAAAGGTGGTGGCAGAATGTAAAATGCCTCCAGCTGTGTATTTGAGGAAGTTGGTACAAACTGGGCTCTCGCTAACAACAGGGTCAGAGTCTTTTCTACGCCAAAGAAGGGCATACAGAGTATACAGGAGTTTGTGTGTGATTTCTGGAGTCAGAAGCTCCTAGGAGGTGAGGTGGTGACAGAGAAATGGTATCTATGGAATGCCCATTGAAGAGTTTAACCACCAGATGGGAGAAGGCAAGGAAAGAGGTTGGGAGGAGGTGGGATGAGCTTAGGCGCAGGAAGGGCTGAGAATTTGACCCTGGGAAGATTAGAGAGGACGAACGGAAGGAGAGAGTGGGGTTGTCTTGGGAGCAGAGGGTCCGCAAGCCTCAGGATCCCCATCTTCTTTGACCACAACTCAAATCCTGCCACCCCCTCTCAGCTCAGCCCTCATCTGGAGACCACTGCCTGAGGCTGGACTGGACCCGTTCCTAGTAGCCAGTGTCTCTCTAGCTGCTCTGGGGAAGTTCAGTCTTCCCCATGCTGAGGCCCAAGGTCAAGGCTGCCCAGGGGACACGGGGCCAAGGAGGACTGGCATTGACCAAGGCTTAGCTGAGGATTAGCGACAAAGCCAAGGTGAAGGGTCAAGGCATCTCAGATTCTCCTTGGCTAGGGGCCTCTCAGCGTCTAGGATCAGCCTCCATGGCAGTGTTGGGGTTTGTTCTTCCTCTACTCTGGGAGAGTTGCTGGGGTGGGCACTGGGGTCGGGGCATAGGAGACAGGACTGGGTTTGAGTCCTGGCTGGGGAATCCTTCCCTTGTGCTCAGCCCAAGTACCTGGACCAGCCAACAAGTGGTGGTACTGCGCAGGCCAGAGCCATGACCCAGGTGAAGGCGACACCCATGATGGCGTGGTCCTCCCCGAAGCGGAAGTTGCTCATAGGCTTACACACCACCACATACCGCTCAATGGCCAGCACCACCAAGGACCACAGAGCAATTTCACCTGCAAGGTAATTAGCAGTCAATCAGTGAGGCCTCTGAAGGGAGGGCCAGGGGTGGGGGATGGGGTGAGTGGGCGGACCCCAAGGGGCTGAGCAGTCTTCAGCTAAGATGTCAGGACACTGACATCTGAATATATGTCAAGGCTGGGAACATTCCTGGCGACCTGGAGCCCAAGTCTCCCCTCCCCCAGACCCAGGGACCGTCTTCCTTGGAGCCAGGAAGATTGGGAGATGCTATATCCTGGAGGAGAAGGAAATGATGATGGAATTCACCTGCCCTGCACATCTGCGCGGAGCTCAGCAGGCTGTATGGATAACTTCTCAAACAAACTGGGACATTTCTGAGACCATGAGGGGACATTACTACCGAATCCAGGACAACAGCTGTGAACTGGACTGGCCCTGCAGAAAAGTGTCCACCTGATTGGGGAACCCCTGCCCCACTCTGGAACCTTCAGGACTGAGTCTGAGAACAATATGACTGTAGAAAGAAGTGAACACCCTGTGGTGGCCAGAACTCTGAGAGTGGACACAGCATACTGGACATGTGAGGGAGGCCAGGCGATGTATAGCATGCCACCCCGGCTTGGTCTAACTGCGTCTTTCCTCTCCTGATTGTCATGTCCCTGGGTCCGAGCCAGCAGCCCCCTGGGCTCGGGTCTGTCTTGTCACCTTCCTGAATGAGTCTCTCCCCTCTCCTCCCTCAGGGATCCATTATCCCTGCAGTACATCCACCCCACAAAGTTTCTAGTCAAGTGAAAGATAATATCTGAATGTAACTTTTAAAATGACACAGTCTGATACCTCCCTACGAAAGGGGCTACTTCAGACAGCGATGAGCTTACAAACACAAAAAACGTTCCAGCATAGCATAGAGGGGCACTCAGGTATGAAGTGGTCCAGGAAGGATGGAACCCACCACCCAGCAAGAGCATGTGGTACACAGGGAAAACAAAGACTGGAGAAAGGATGAGGGTCAGCTTCCCATTCCAGGTGGCTGGGACTCCTATAGCTCTATCCCCTGTGCCCGGTGGGGTCTGAGCCAGAGCAGCTGGTGCAAGGGCAGCAGAGACTTGGAGTTCAGAATCTGGTCTGAGGAACCACAGAGATGTGGGTCCCGAACTCAGCTCTTCCCCCTCCCCCCCTCCCAACTACTACAGGACCTTCAGCACTGGTGTCCTCTGAACCTCAGTGTCCTTGTTGCAAAACAGGACAATAGCCCCACTCCCAATGAGATAAAGAATGGCTGATAACTACCCTCAACACAAGTCATCTATCTTATTGTCACTGACAATATTAGTTGATTGAATAAATTTGGGTGTCCAATGGCACTGGAGTCCCTGGTGGTGCAAAAGAATTAACATCCTCGGCTACTAACTGAAACGTTGGTGGTTCATGTCCACCCAGAATCTACTTAGAGGGCCTGGTGATATGCGCAGTGCAGTTCTACTCTGACACACAAGGGGTTGCCATGACTTGAAGCAAACAGCACCTGTTGGACGCTGATGACTCCAGCAGGAAGAAAGCCTCTCAGCCTCGGTGCAGCATCTCCCCTCCCTCACCCCCCCCCCAACCCGCCCCACTGTCCACCTCCTCCAGGCTCTTACCACCCATGGTGGCGAAGAAGCCCTCTAGGTTGCACCCTGTGGGCCCGAATACAAAGTATCCATGCAGAGAGGTGTAGAGGGTGGTGGTGAAGCCACCAAAGACCATGAAGAGGTCGGCCACGGCCAGGTTGAGCAGGATGTAGTTGAGTGGGGTGCGTAGCTTCTTGTGCTGTACGGTCACGTAGAGCGTGAGGAAGTTGATGGGGAAGCCAAGCACAATGAGCAGGAACATGTAGGCGGCCAGCATGGAGAACTGCCAGGGCTCTGCCAGGTAGTACTGTGGGGACTCGAAGGGGCTGCGTACCACGCCCGTCTGGTTGGAGAAGGGCACGTAGAAGTCCGGGCCCTCTGTCCCGTTCATGGCTGCAGCCTCACAGCTGCCAGCAACTTCGACTTGGGAGTGCTGCCCAAGCCTGAGCTCGGTCACTAGGTGCTTGCAGATGACTCTTGGCTTGCACCCCAACTGCCACACCCCCCAGGCCCTTATAAAGTGACCTCCCCTCCCTAAGCTCCAGGCTGAATCAGCACTTGGGAGATTAGGGAGTTATTAATCAGATTACTCCCCCCTACAACCAGGATCTAATTGACTTTCAAGAGGGGTCAAGGTGATAGCAGCCTGAGCCTGGGGTTGGTGAAGGCAGGCTCAGGGCCACAGCAACATGAAGACAGCCCTCCCTATCTCATTCTGGTGGCTCAGCCTGGGTCTGCAGCTTCTCCACTTCACAGCCAAACCAAACCAAATCCAATGATGTCGACGCAGTTCTGATCCGTAACAACTCTATAGGACAGTACAGATTCATTCCTTAGGGTTTCTGAGACTGTAAATCTTTACGGGAGTAAACAGTCTCATCTTTCTCCCATGTACTAGCTGGTAGGTTTGAACTGTTAACCTTCTGGCTAGCAGCCAAGCACTTAACCCACTGTGATACCAGGGCTCCATTGCCCCTCAATCCAGGTCTCTCTCCCGATGGTACCAAGAGGGGTGGGGCCTCTCTTCTATTTTCCTTCATTACTCACCTATTCCTTCTCTACCCAGATTGCTTCAAGGCTCACTCAGATTATGAGCTTCTTGGGGTGATGTGTGTTCTGCCAGCTTCGGCACATCTGTCAAATAGCCAGCCCAATGGGGCCTTGGTGGTCACTACAGAGTGTTAGACTCTACTCACCATTCATTAAGCATCTTTGTGCAAACCCTTGGGGACACAAAGACTGCTCAGGGAAGCTTTGGGACTGGAAAAACTCTAATGTGGGAAGGAAGAGACCCCAATCCATGGAGAGGGAAGGGTTAGGGAGGCTAGGTTGGAGTCTTTGGGGTGGATGTAAAAGAAGAAAAGGACTGAGCAGAGAGCAGGTATCTGGGGCCCGAGGCCCAGGAGTATGGCCACATGCCACCAAAGGGCAGGAGAAGGGCTATGGCTGGCTCTGATGGGCATTGAATGCCAACCCTGGCATCCAGCTTTACCCTGGAGGGCATTGGAGAGTGGTCTGAGCAGACCAGAGGGAATCAAGGTGACTTATAAGCCCATTAGAGATGGGTTAGGGTCTGAGGTTGGAGGAGGGAGCAGGGGGTGGGGGTAACTAGAGTGGGGATCTTGTAGGTAGGAGGGGGCTATGTGGAGGGTACAGGTAAGGCACCCCGCCCTGTTGCAGATTTCAGTATGAAAGGCAGGCGAACTCAGGAAACACAAGATTGGTAGAGACACAAGGCCGACATCTGGCGTGTCTGCCTCCAGGTGGGCCAGGAGAGTGGGCCTGGAATGCTTCCTGACAGTAGCCCCCAAGGGCTGGTCTCTGGAGACAGGACATACAGTAAGTTAGGAAGTGATGGGGACATGTAACCTGCATGCTAACGTGGCTGGGCACAGCAGGCACCATTTCCGTGAGCACAAGGAGTTCAAGAGCATGCCAACTAGGGTGAGCAAGGCAGTGAGGGAGGGGACAGGACAGGTCACCCGCAGGGGCTGGGGACCACTGCTCATTCCACAGACATTTAACCAGCACCTTTTTAAAACCCTTTTATACTGTGAATTGGGTAAAAGTTGACAAAGTGGTTGGGTTTTCCCTCCAACAATTCATGTACCTTTTGTTTCAGATCACTGGTGCAATACCTACAATATCACAGCGCTTAGTCCACTTCCTGTATTTCCTGCTCCCATTCCTCCTTCTCTCCTGACTTGGAACGTCGTCCTTTTGATCTCAAGCTGTTGACTATTCTAAGGTGTGTGTACCTCGTGGTATCATTCTGCCTTTTATAGACCTGTGCATTGTTTGGCTGAAGACTGAGTCACGGAAGTGAGTTCAATTCCAGACCTGTGAGGTTCCAGCAGTCTGTATCCAACCAGTAAGCCTGCTGTTCTTCGTGAGTTTGAGTTTTGTTCCACATTTGCCTCCCTTTCCATGCAAGACCTTCTAATGTGATCCCTTCCGGGGCAGTTGGTACTGGTAGCCAGGTCCCATCTAGTTCTGGTCTCAGGTTGTGGAGACTGATAATCATGTGGTCCATTGTCCACTGGACTGATTGTTTCCATGTACCATCAATTTCAATCACTCTTCTTCCCTCCAGACAGGAAGAGACCAGTAGCTACATCTTAGATGACCTCTCATGAGCTTTTAAGACCCTTGTCACTACTCACCAAAGTAGGCTATAGAACACTGTCTTTGTGGACTATGTTATGCCAGTTGACCTTGAAGCCATGATGACCATGGTCCTGAGCTCCCGGGTCCAACAATTCATTCCTTCAAAGGGTTTAGTTATGTCTAAGGAGCTTTCATAATGTTGCCCCCTGTATGCTCTACCACATTCATGGATAAATTTTCAGGTAAATACCCATGTACAGATGCCCTCTGCCCAGTCTTCATATAGGATAAGCACACTGTAGAATAAGATGCTGAAGAAGACCTAAACTTCAAGTTTGGTGGTTCAAACTCACCAGCTGCTCCTTGTAAACCCTATACAGAGTGGCTATGAGTTGGAACCGACTCCACAGCACTTAACAACAACAACCTTTGTATATCTGTGGATATACTCCCACTGTCCCCCACTGGCCAGTCAGCCTGCATGTCCATTCTTGTATCTGCCATTACAAGAGGACATTATGCCGAGGGCAGTATCAAGTACCTTCTGTGTTTCAAGACAATGTGCTGAGTTCTGGGAGACACAGCAGTGATCAAGACAGAGCCCTTGGCTTCAAGAGGCTTGCTCTTTAGAAGGAAGGGAGGAGGTCCCAAACAGATGATGAAATAAGTAGCAAGTATTAACTACAGAAAAGAGGAGACTTGTCATGACTCACCCCATCCTAGCAATGGTTTCATAGCCAGGGAGGCCTCTGGGAAGGTGAAGTTTGAGCTGAGAACTGAATGATGGTATGGGAACAGACAAACCAACATTGGTGGGGGTACAGGGGTGGCAGAAGAAACTGCCTTCCCCTGAGTCAGTGTCTCTGTCTCAGACTGCCCTCCTGTTATGGGTTGAATCTTGTTCCTCAGAATACCTGTTGTATAAATCCTAACCTCCATGTCTGTGGTTATAAACCCACTTGGAAATGTGTTGTCTTTGTTATGTTAATCAGGCAGAATTAGTGTAGTCTGTGTTGTGAGTCTTTTGAGATATAAAATAGATCGAGCAAGCAAGGGGAGCAGGCAGAGATGGGAGGAGATGCCACATGAACATCAGCCAGGAGCCAAGGAAGCAGACGCTGAAGAGACAAGGATCTTTCCCAGAGCTGACAGGGAGAGAAAGGCTTCCCCTAGAACCCCCTCCCTGAATTCAGACTTCTAGCCTTGGAAACTAGAGTCCTGGTGTGGTGCTGTGGGATAAAGCGCTGGAGCGCAAGGTCGTTTTGAATCACAAGGTTGGTGGTTCAAACTCACCAGCTGCTCCTTGAAAACCCTATATAGTGAGTTGGACCTGACTCGACCGCACTTATCAATAATAACAGCCTCTGAAACTAGGAGAAAATAGATTTCTGTTTGTTCAAGGGACCTGCTTGTGATATTTGTTATACCTTCCCACCCTGGTTCTGATCTGCTCACAAAAGCGCCTTGCTGACTCCAGCCCATCTGAGGCTCGAGACATCCCCCATGTCCAGCCCTATAGGGGTCTGACAGGCTTTTCACAGGCAGGACTGAGAATGTGTTGATGAAGAGGAGGCAGTACTGACTTCTCCAAATTTAAGGTACTTGGTGATGATTATGCCCAATGTTAACAAGGTCAAACTTTGTTGTTGTAAAGTGCCATTGAGTCAGTTCCGACCCATAGCAACCCTGTACAGGGTTTCCAAGGAGCGTGACTGGTGAGCTTGAACTGCCAACCTTGAGGTTCAAACCTACTTTGCAGTCCAGCACATTAACCTACAGTGCTACACCAGGACTCCAAGGTCAAGGTGGACAGTTGATTTCCACAGTCCTTGTCAGAGGAGGTGTGTTCTTATCCTGGGAATGCCCATCGTCACCCTGCCTGGCCAAGCCTGACCCTCACACCAGCTCTCCTCCACCTCCTTTCTGAGGATCAGGGCTGTTTGGAAGCATTTTATGTATACTCTATTCACATGTTTTTGTCACTCTCCCTTGTTCCTGACACACAGTGGGCACATCATGCGTATGTTTATCTCCACTAGAAAGAACTGGGATTTCTGTCTGCTTTGTTCGCCAAGTCTGACACATAGTAAATCCAAACCCAGTGCCACTGAGGCGGTTTGGACTCATAGAGATCCTATGTAGAGTTTCCAAGGTTGTAAATCTTTAGGGAGTGGAAAGCCTCCTGTTGATTCTGTGGAGCAACCGGGATTCAAACTGCTAACCTTGTGGTTAGCAGCCCAGTGTGTAACTCATTACGTAACCACCAGGGCTCCTTAATCTGTGTTGAGGGACTTAACAACACGGGAGGGAAGAAGTGGGTGCACATGTGGACCATCTAGGTGAGCTGGGGGAGGATTTCCCCTCTCTGTGAGAAAGAGGTCATCTCCCTATCTATCATGCTGTGGGGAGTATGTGAAGTCTGGAAAGCAGGAGGAAGAATTAAAAAAAAAGAGAGAGAAAGCTTTTTGTTGAAAACCAGACTTGCTCAGGGCTGGCAGCACCTCTCTGTAGCAGGCGGCACCTCTCTGACTTCCCAGCCCCATTTTGCAGAAGGAGAGACTGAGGCTCACAGTCCCAGAACAGATACTTTCCAACAGCTTCCTGGGGTGTCCTACTGCCCCCTGTGAGAGACACCAGGACAGAGTTTAGGTGGGTGGGCTGGTGGGAAAACATATAGGTGAAATAGCTGTCACTTGAGAGGCGGGTCACCCGAGACCCAGGGACGCCCTGCTTGCCTTCTCTGGGCCTCAGTTTGCTTAGACTAGGACATTTCGAAAGGTCTGCCATGGACTGCTAGCTACAAGGTCAGCAGTTCAATTTACTAGCTTCTCTGTGGGAGAAAGATGAGGCTTTCTGCTCCTGTAAAGATGTACAGCCTCGGAAACCCTGTACAGCAGGGGTGGGGAACTTCTGGCAAAACCATTTGTTCTGGTCTTGCCAAGGCAAGTGCAGTTCCAGCCGTCATCACATTTGTGCCTGTTCCCTACTCTGTAAAATGGGACTCACAGCCACGTGCTCACTACATGTTGCCCACAGCACAGCAGCATTCTTTCTGAGTCTTGTTCAGGTAACAGCCCACCCGACAAACTAGGCCCTCCGCCACCACTTCCCTTTTCTAGGAAGAGTCTTTTTATTTGTCTGCTTATTAGCTGCCCGCCTCATCCCAGGTTTATGTGTGAGGTGGGGCCTGCCCCTGTGACCACAGGAGAGATGGGGCAGAGCTGGACGTGGACCCTCTGGAAAGTCAGGTTGAAGATCTGTGAGGAGCTTGGACAGGTGGGCATTGTGTGCTGCTATCTCGTGGCCCCGGAGCCCCAGCCTCCTGGAGTCCTCAGAGGATTAGGGGCTTAGCCTCTTAGCCTCAGCTTGGAAGGTTGAGGGGGCTGCTCCATCAACAACTTGCCCCCCGCCGCCAGCTCCTCTGCTCCCTTCTACTCTGTCCTGTGTCCCAAACAAGGCTGTACCCTGTCTGGAGAATGAAGGGGAGACTCAGCTGGGAATGTCCAGGTGGACTTGGAGGAAGATCCTCCGACTTCGTCTTTACCTTCATCCCTCCACCTCTTTTCCTTCTTTCTCTTATCACTTGTCAAACACCTTCCATGTCCCAGGCCCTAGACTAGGTGCTGTGGACACTGAGAAGAAGCATGGACTCAGGGCAGCAGGTAGGCGAGATTCGAGAGGAGTAGGGATTGGCTCTCAGCCCCAATGCCGAGGGAGCCCAAAGGAGCAAGCGGCAGACCAGAGGAAGGCTGGGAGGACGTCTTGGACAGAAGACAGAGCACTGGCCTTGAAGGAGGGTCATGTGCTACCAGGAGCTGCTGGGCTACAGCATGGGGAAACCAAGTCCCATGGCAGCCAGCTGACAGAGGCAGGGCCAGAGCCCAGGTCCGCCTTACTCGTTCTTACATCCTCCTTCCTCAAACAGGCACGACACCCCTCTCCTTAGTTCAGTGGGCAGAAACATGAAGGCCAGCACCCCCACACCTCTCACCTAAATGTGAAGACTGAGGCACAGAGAGGACAGTGGCCGGCAGAAGCACCCCGAGCTTGGGATTGGACTGAGTCAGGGCGAGGCAGCGGGCAACGCATCCGTGCAAGGCTGCGACAGGGTTTGAGTCTGTCAACGAAAGCTGGGGGGCTGTTGCTGGGCCTCAGTCTCTGTGTCTGCGAGATGGGGGTGGGATGGCCTATGGAGGAGCTGTGGCAATGGTTGTTGGGATGCAGACTCCTCATTCTTGCGCCCCTCAGCTGGGGGGGGGCGCGCCTGCTGAGTCTCAGGCAGGGCCCCTCCTTCCCCCCCCCACCTCCAGTCCTGGACCATCTGATCTGTCACTTTTTCCCTCTCCCGTTTTCCCAGCCATATGCAAATGATTTCAGTTCAAGTAATGCGCTAATGGAAACCCTAACACATTAATAAATGTTTAGCAAGATAGAGAGCATGCATGATCGTAAGTAATTAGATACTCGACGGAGGAGTTCTGTTGGCACAACTGTCTGGCTCTTTATTTTCCTCCATCATCTCCAGAGAGACATGCAGAGGAAGGTGGTGAAGAGAGACCGGTCCAGGCTGGAGCAGGCCCTGGGTTTGGCTCCAGTGTTTTCCACAGAAGGGGAGGGGGGCTCTGTAAACCACTTTCCCTCGCCAGGCCCGTGACATCACCATGCCAACGCGACCTCTTCTTACCTGCCCACTTCATATGTGTGGGATGCCAGATAGGTCCTTTCTTCTGCATCCGTTTGTCATCAAGGTCCCATGTCACAACCTGAGAAGGTAGGGTGGTGGCTGAAGAGAGCAGGGGCTTTGGGGATGGACAAGAGCTTCTGATGCCCCCTCCCCCTCCCCATTGGCTATGAAATGGAAATGACACTCCTTCCTTCCCAGAGCTGGTGTGAGAAGTAAGACAACATGTGAAATGAGGCTGGCACAGAAAAGGGCCCCAAGAAAGGTGCTTCTCCCCTCTCCTCCAGCCTCCGTACCGTCTGCCACCCACCATCCCTCTGGCTGATGGATTGGACATGGTTAAGCTCAAAGGAAAAGATTCTGGAGGTTTGGAGTTTCCAATGAAACCTGTCTGCTTAAGAAGTCGAGAAGGGCAGGTCTCCGGGTGATCTGGAATGCTCTAAGGGGCACCTGACCAGATCCCCACCCAGGGACTTTTGTTCCAACTCTTGCCATCTTTGGACCCAGGTATCGTATTTTCTTGTCAAGCTAGGTTCCCGGTTAAACCAAAATAAATAAATAACCAAACTGCCTCCCCACCCCTTCCCATATTGCCGTTTCGATTAGATTACATTTTAAGAGCACACAAATATAATGTTCCTCTTGGATCAAATTAGAAACAGGTGCACTTTTGCATAAGGAAATTAAGTTGCAGACAATATGAAGATTTGCTAAAATGCAGACACTGATGAAAATAAGTAGCCCTTTTATTTGTAATTATTGAGGCAATCTGTTCGCAAAGTGTACATGTTAATGGTCTGACAGATCTGTGGACTCCGGCAGGCTGCTGGGAACAACTCAAGTCGCCATTTGGAAAGTAACAGATTTTTTTCCTTAGAAAATATATGTACATTCTCGCCCCGTCTCCTAATGCTATTTACAAGGCACAGAATGCCATAAATAGGAATTCCACGGTTACACAGGCCCCTCCTGGAAAAGGAAACTGCATCTGGCCCAAGACACGTTCTCAGGGGCTGGGATCGTCAATGCGCCGTCGGCAGTAGGGGCAGCAGGTGTGCTGGAGGACCAGGAGTTCATAGTCCTCCGAGTGGAACATCTGCGGAAAGACAAGGCCCAGCTCAGTCCTGCTCCTGGGGGCAGGCAGTGTGTGGGGCGACCACCCTGTGTCTGACTATGTGTGAAATGTGTGAGGTGTGCTCCTGCCCTGGGGGACCTTTGAGAAACAGCGACAGAGAAGACTGCACTTGGGCTGCCCTGGGTACCTGGAAGCAGGAGGGGCACATGGTGATGGACGCGTCCGGCAGGAGCGAGCGGAAGTACTGCCACTGCAGGGGCTGCGGCCAGCGCTTGATGAGGACATCCCGGCGGCTCATGGAGCGCAGCACGGACCGGCTCACCACGACTGGCACAAACTCCGAGCCACCCTGCTGTGGGCCCAGGAAAGGTAGGGGCACTGGCTTCACTCAGGGTGGGCCCTAGGGGCTCCCTGCCGGCACCTGTTGGCCCCAGGCAGCTCTGGCAGGGGCCAGCCCTGCCTCCTGCCCAGCTGGACACTTGTCTCCCATCATGCACTCTAGGTCTTGTTTCAGCCGTTGAGGAACACAAACCTGCTGGCTCCCTCAGCCTGCTGCCAGCTCCTGCCCTCCCTTCACCCACACACCTCCCCGCTGGGCCCGCTGTCCCCAAGAGACGAGCTCACCTCGAAGCTTAGCTTTGCTGTGAATGGGTCATCCCCAGCCATGGAGTCCACGGTCTCATCCAGTCTCAGAGTCTGACAGTCTGGAGGGTGTGGTCAAGGATGGACTCGGAGGCCCAGTTTGGAAATAAGCGCACCCTCCACGCAATGTTAGGGGCTCCCTCCAGCCCCAGCGGAGCAGGCTTCCAGGGAAAGGGACAGAGGTCAGGTGACATGTCCTGAGGCCCAGGAATGACAGGGAAGGCGAGGCAATGGCGGAACCTCTGTGGTGAGGGGACAGTCAGGGTCTTCAGCAAATCACCCTCGTGTTTCCCTCCTCAGGCCCCGCCCTGCCCTTCTGAACAAGCCCCTGGTGATATGTGGGCACCCAAGGTTGAGAAGTGCTGGTCCAGGGCTGGCTGGACACTTCACCATCTACCCTCCAGCCGGCCAAGCTGGCAGCCCTCGCTGTGGCCGTGTGAGGGGTGAGGTCATCCAAGGCCAGCATGCCAAGAGACAACACCGCCTCCTGGCACAGTGGGGGCGCACCTGGGCCCAGCCACTGCCACGCTGCTAACACCCTTTCATGTGTTCAGCCGCAGAGTCGTGGCTTCTGCCACTTTCATGTAAACGAGGCCTGTCTAGAACCCTTGGGGCTATCGATGGTGGTGGTGATGTGCCGTGGAGTTGGTTCTGACTCACAGAGACCCTGCATAGGGTTTCCGAGGCTGTAAATCTATACAGGAGCAGAAAGCCCCCTCTTTCTTCTAAGAACAGCTGGTAGATTTGAACTGCTGCCCTTGAGACTAGCAGCCCAACTTGTAACCACTACACTATCAGAGCGCCTTGGGACCACCAATGAGGAAACTGGCTATCATGAGGCCATTTTATGATTCAGAAGTTTTAGGATCCCTCTACAAACAAAGCACAGGAAACCAACCGAGGCCGCATTCCCTGTTCCACCCGCCAAGTGTGGAGCCCTGGGGCCCTCAGTATCCCAGCACCACTGGCCTGGGCCTGCTCCCCACCTCCCGTCAGTCAGGCCGGGGCCTACTCCCCACCTCCCGTCAGTCCCGGCCTGGGCCTCCTACACTCAGGATACTGTTGCTGGTGATCTCCTGCCACTTGCCTTCCTGCTTACTAGGTCTGGGAGCCTCCAGGTTGATGAGGGCGATGGCCTCTTCATCGGAGATCCCCTCCTCCAGGTAGAACTCCACCAGGTGCAGGACCTCTGGAGGCCCGGGGCACAGGTGCTCTCAGCAGGCAGCACGTGAGGCCGTGTGGCTCCCAGAGCCCTGTCCTCAGCAGGCAGGCTGTACCCCACTGCGGTGCACCCCCTCTTGTCACAGGTTCTCCTCCTACCACTGGCCTGGAAGAAGCCTGTGGGTGTGGGCATGTGTGTGGGGATCCATGTGTGCATATGGACAGGATGGTGGGTAAGTGTGTGGGGTGGGTGAATGTGTGTCCACGTGTATGCAGTGTATATGTTGTGTGTGTGTGTGTGGAAGGGTGTACATGTCTATGGGTGTCTATGTGTGTTGGGTGTCTATGAGTGTGGGGGTGTGTGTGGGAGTGGGTGGGGGCTTCAGCCTTTCTTTCTTGCCCCTGGCCAGGCTCCTCTGAGGGAGAAGAGGCCTGTGCCCTCCTCTAAGAATCCTGACTACATACCACCCGGCCTGGTCCTTCATGCAAAGCCATCAGCGGTTCTGGGAAGGGAGTGTGAGGCCACTCAGTGGAGTGAGCAATACGGCAGCTGCAGGGGACTCACCGTAGGAAGATGCGGAGAAGACGAAGGGCTGGCGGCAGTTGATGCACACGTTGCCCAGGTTGTTGAGCAGCGGGTTGTTGGTGGAACAGCGGTAACACAAGGGCACCAGCTCCTACAAAGACACCGTCCAGGGTGAGCACAACTCGTCCCGCGCCCACACTTACGCCCTGGGCCTGGGAGATGCACGAGGAGGTGCTGCAGAGACATCAGAGACCCTCCACTTTGTCACTTGAAGGTCTCGTGCCCCAGACACGTCCTTTGCAGGAAGGGGTCTAGCCGGACTCCTCTGCAGGCAGGAAGGAACAAGAACCACAACCTCCATTATTAGCAACGTGCCCCACTCAGGTGCTGTGCCGAGCATGCTACCTGTGCTGTCTCATTCAGCCTCTCAGTCACCTGTGGGAAAGGGGTTCTGCAAATGACCCATGTGACAGAAGGAGAAACGGATGCTGAGAAAGACTGAGACCCAGCTAAAACACGGCAGCATTGCAAATGAGCCCAGGGGCCTGCTCTGAGTGTGAAGGAGGTGGTCTGGGCGCGGGGCGCTGCAAACCAGAGGTGGACAGTCAGGATGACAGAGTGGTGAGAGCCACCTTCCTAATGGAACCTGCGGCCAGGCAGGAAGTTATCAGAGGAGCCCCATGGAAAAAGCGGGAAGGTCTCCCTCACGGGGCGGGGCCTCACCTCACTGTCCTGGAAAGGCTTGGAGCGGATGGTCAGGCTGCCCAGCTCGATGGACTTCTGGAATCTGGCAGGGATCTGCAGGCCCTGCAGCTTGTCGTAGGCGTGCCGGGCCAGCTTGTACGCACCCAGAGCCTTGCTCTGTTTGGCCAGGGTGAAGAGCGTGTTCCTGTGCCCAAGGTTAAGGACTGCAGCAGCCCAGATGACCAGGAGCACCCACACAGCTGGGCAGGGCACCACAGCCCAGGGATTTTTCCAGACATCAAGACAGTGAGTTCACATTAATGTTTTAACCCCGTTCAGAGGTTGCTGAGTTGGAATCTACTTGACGGCACTTTAACAACAGCAAGGTCCTTGTGTGAGGCCGCAGCATAGGCACCGGACTAGAAGGTCGGGTTGGATTGTAAGGTCGGTGGTTCAAACTCACCATCTGTTCTTCTTGTGTCCTGGCCCAGCCTTAGCTAAAGCCCTGCCAGGTGTAGTGTGAGGCAGAGGCCTGCGGACCCTCCTGGACTTGTCTTCTGGACTCCGACCTCAGGCCAGCTCTGGTTCTGACCTGTACAGCTGTCCGCCCCAGCAGGGTTAATGCCCCTACCTCCTTCAGTAGCTCCTCACATGACACCCAAGTCCCAGCCTCCTCCCACACTCTCTCTCCAGCTCAACTCGGTTATCAGTAGTTACATGGCATTGAGGGTCCTCCTGTCTCCACCACAAGCCAGGCAGCACAGGGCACAGTCTAATTACTCCAGGCTGAGAGAGTTAGGGGCAGGCTCAGGCCAGGCTGGCTTGGCAGGGAACGCTCCCCCAGGCAGGGCTCTCATTGATTTGGGGGTGGCTCCCCTGAAATGTAAATGATGTGCTGGAACCTCAGCAACGTGCACCTCTGGGCCCTGTCCTGGGTGGAGCATGAGGGGCTGTGCATACAACAGGAGGAGCTATTTGGCTAGGAAGGGGCTGAAGAAAACCCACTCTGACCCATAGAGTGAACTGCTCCCTAGGGTCGCCAAGGCTGCCTCATCTTTCTCCTGTAGAGCAGCTGGTGGGTCTGACCACGGCCTCTGGAACAGTCCAATGCTTAACCCACAGTGCCACTGGGACTCCTTTCAAGACCTTAAGAGACTGTGATTCCAGCTTGGTTCCTTTCTGGAAACACAGGTTTTTTGAGGGCCCTTCTCTGCTGTCTGTGGTTCTCCCTGCCCACCCAGGCTTGTCAACACCAGGCTGTCCCCACACACTCCCTCCTGTCTGCCGCTGACTGCTTGTCCCCTCCTAAAGGCAGCCTGCCCTGACCAGGGGCCCAGCCTCAGTCCCATTCCACCCTGGACTACAGCTCATGAGATGCAGCTTTGTCACTTGGTACCTGGCCTGGTGCCCGGGACCCAGCAGGTGCTCCATCCATCTGGGCTCCAAACACCTCCCTACACCACCACACACTCAGGTGAACTGCCCAGCATTCCTGCCTGAAGGCCTAGAGCTTCCAAAATTTTTCTCACGCCCTCATTTGTGGGTTCCGGGAGGGCTTGGGACAAAGTGTTGGCTAGAGACCCACTTCTGGGCCCAGCCCAGAGATCCCTGAAAGCTAATCTACTTTTGGCAGTGGCCCCTCAGCCTCCCAGGCTGTGCCAGGCCTATAGGAACAGTGCGGCGGCAGGCAGGGCTCTGTCTCTTTGCTCTTAGGGCTGTTGGAAAGAAGGCAGTTCTGCCGGTAAAGTGCTCTGGAGGAACTCTGGGGCCATTAGACGAGAGGGGTGGGGAAGGGGTGGGTGGGAGAAAAAGGATACACTTTAGAGATGCCCAAGGGAGTGTCCTTGGTCAGGCTGTGCAGCAGGAACCTGGAGATGTTGAAAAGGGTTTCGGGAAGATGGAAACTGAAGGGCTCCTCCTACAGTGAAGAAAAGCGAACAGGAGCTTAATCCTCATTGGAACCACTGCAGAGCCACCCTAGAGCGGAGGCGCGGAGGACCTTCACAGTGCCCAGAGCGGGTGCCACGGTCACAGCCATGGTCTCCACTGCTCTGACAAGGAGAACTGAGACTCACAGAGATGATCCACCCAGCCACCCAGCTAGATTCAAGCAGAGCTGGGATTCAACCCACATCTGCTTCCAAAGTCCAAGAACGTCTTCCTCCCAAGTTGCACAACTCCTGTTGCTATTATGTGCCATGGAGTTGGTTCCGACTCACAGTGACCTGGTATAGGGTTTCGGAGGCTGTAAATCTTTGAGAGAGCAGAAATCCTCCTCTTTCTCACATGGGGCAGCTAGTGGGCTTGAACTGCCGACTTTGTGCCTAGCAGTCCAGTGCTTATCCTACAGAGCCACATGATTCAAGTTCCTTGCCTTCAGTTCGCTTTACAAGTGAAGGCCTCTTTTGCAATATAGGGGGCTGCACAGCCCAGGATGAGATCATCCCCTCCTGTGCTCCCCCCAGCGGTACCCTCACTGAGACTCCACCAAGCTCAGCAACACGGAGCCCCTCCACGGCTAATGTCCAGACCTGAAACCAAGGGAGTCTCCTCCCTTCAGGAGACGGCCCATAAATGCTTAGGATACCGTGCACCACATCATTCGCCAACGGAGACCGCTGATTACCACTAATGCTTTAGAAGACAGTGACAGCAGCCAGCCTCCCCCCGCCCCTTTGCAGGCACTTAAATGGCAATAAACGGGCAATTCTTGAAGGCTCTTGCTGGGTCGTACTCCTCACTGGGCCTGGAGTTGGTCTAAATTCCTGAGGACAGACTCTGGGCTCCTGTCTGTCTCTTTAGTTCCCACCTATGTTTCTATGGCCTCTCTGCATTCCAGGAGCCTTCATTAGGAAAGCCAGGGCAGTGACCACCACAGGTTACAGTGCTAGGTGTGGAGAGTCAATGATGCCCAGCAGAGACCCCAACGAGCTCCTCCCATCTGGGAAGGGCCCCACCCCCCATCACTTAGAGGCAGGCAGGGCCCTCTCCTCCGTCTGCCCCACCCTTCCTCACTTACAGGAGGGCTTCTCACAGGGCTCTAAGTGCTATCCAGTGGCTGCTTGTTTATGGGTCTCCTGAGGCTGGAACAGCTAGTCCACTGCAGGGGTTTGCTGACTAAAGGAATGACCCAATGCTGAAGCCTCCCGGCAGCACACTGGAGAGGGAACAAGGTGTGGGGCATGGAGAGGAAGCTGGATCCCACCGAGGCTGAGCTGGGGCCCTGAGGGACTCCAGGGACACTTATCTAGGAACATTTTGGGCCAGACATGCTCTCAAGTGTTGTCCACACATTGTTGTTGTTAAGTGCCACCAAGTCGGTTTCGACTCATAGTAACCCTGCATAGGGTTTCCGAGGAGCGGCTGATGGGTCTGAATTACTGACTTTCCAGTTAGCAGTCCAGTGTTTATCCTACAGTGCCACACCAGGACCCCTCCAAGCATTAGCTCATTTCATTTCCACACCCACCCCACCAAGCAGGTCCTATTGCTATCCTCATTTTATAGAGAAGGAAATGAAGCAGGAAGCCGTCACCCACTGGCCCGAGGTCAATCAGTGGTGCTGGGCAGAGGCAGTGGTCCGCCTCCAGGGCTCAGGCTGGTCTGCAGGTTGGAGGGGGGAGGCTGGTAAGAGCACAGGCTCCCAAGCTGGCCTATCTGGGTCCAAGTCCTGGCTCTGCTATTTATCAGCTATGGGATCTCATTCTACCACCGCAGGTTCCTCACCCATAAAATAGCCTTGTTAAAAAGACTGCATTAGTTGATACAATGTCCTCTGGTATGGAATAAGTGCTCAATAAAAAAGGCTGGTTATTGATGGTGCTGTGGAATAAACACTGGACTGCTAACCACAAGGTTGGCAGTTCAAACCCACCAGGTGCTCCGAAGGAGAAAGATGAGGCTTTCTGCTCCTGTGAAGATTTATGGGGACGGGGTCACTAAGAATCATGGTCAACTCTTTGGCAGTGAGCTTTGGGTATTGTTGGTGCTGAAGTTCTGGAGTGGCAAAAACAGTTAAGCAGTTACTACTAACTAAAAGGTTAGCAGTTTGAACCCATACTGAAGCACCTTGGGAGAAAGACCACGGTCAGGAAATCCCCACAGAAGCACAGCTCTACTCTGACCACACGAGCTGGACATGAGTCAGAATCAACTCGACGTTGATCTTATCCTTCCAGCTTACCAGCACAGGGCCAGGCCCATCCAGGAACTCAATCAGGAGATCACTGATTAGAATGCATGGGACGAGGAAGCTGTGGGCAGCCTGTCACCTGGTCTTTATTGCCAGTGGACAGACTAAAAGTGGCTTCGTCTACACAGTCAGTGACTAGAAAGAAGTACTGTTTGTGGTACTTGCTCTGGTTTTATACAGAAGGAAAGTCAGGATAGAGAGGAAGTAAATTTGCTCAAAGACACACAGCAAGTAAGTGGCAGGGCCAGGAAGGAAGCCCGAGCCTAGAAGAAACGGTCTCCATGGATTTTCCACCCGCCGTCAGGTTTAGAAAGAGACAGTCTTTCTAAAGACTTTCTAAAGAATCCAGAGTCTACCTGAGTCATCAGAGTCTGAACCAAGCAACCAGAAAGGCCCATGCGAGCTAAGTAGCAAACAAGTGGGTAGTCAAGGAAATACAGAGCTTCTAACCCTCCCTCCCCAAAGGAGACTAGGATTTCCCAGCCGTCCACCATGACGCCATGGGTTTGGGTTGTATGCAGAGGTGTGCTGCTCTGTAAACCATGCCCGGTGTCCTAGCCCCCCGCACAGCCACCTTACCGTGTACCGCTGGATGGCATGGTAGCCGTGGTATAGCTCGGCCAAGTGCTGGAAGTGGTGGAATTTGTCAAGCATCATGTCCTTCTGGGCAGGAGCTGCTGCATATGGTGGGCAGAGAGTGAGACGGGAGGCAAGACAAGGGGTTAAGCCCAGTCTCTGGCTGCCAGCTGGCCACGGAAGAAGGGCTGGGGAGGCGGGCACTGTTGCCAATGTCCACTCTTCCTCCACCTGGGCATTCTGTGATGCCCACAGCAGCCTTGTGAAGAAGGCAGGGCAGGTGCGCCCACAGTGCAGACAGGCACACAGAAGCTCCAGAAGCATCTGTGACTTGTTGGAAAACATCACCTCTACTCCACTGCCATCGAGCCACTTCTCACTCATCACAAGCCCATACAGAGTTTTCGAGACCGTGACTCTTCATGGGCGCAGCCAGCCTCGTCTTTCTCCCACGGTTTGAACTGCTGACCCACCCAGCCTCCTAGCTGCCTCCAATTCCAAGGCTTTTCCCCACTCCCTGTTGGCCCTGGTCCAGTGGTGAACAGCCCGCTTCCAGATCCCTCAGTGCATCATGGGAAACCTTGGAAACGAGCAGCTTGGGATGAGTGAGAATCTAGAGTGTTATTGTCAAGTGACTCCTTTTTCATTTTCTCATCTTAATTTTTTTCCCACCAGGTTTACTCTGGGTTCTCAGTTCAGGTTCAGGGAAAGGTATACTCTGAATGAGCAATGCAAGGCAGAAGCCCCCAATCATGACCTCAGGACAGCCCGCAAACCAGGCAAAGATGACACATCAGATTGTGCCACTGCCAGACGGGGTTATGGACAATGCACCCAACAAGCAAGTCCAGGGCTTTAATTAAAACGTCCCAGTGCTTCCGATGTTTATCTTGGTGCCAGAGAGCAATGGGGAAAACAAGCAGCTTGGTGGCTGTTTACTTACCTTGAGCTATATCGAGGCACTGCATGGACAGCATCCAGTAATAATAGGCCGCGTCATTAAATCTGCTTTCCACCACGGCGTTGTGTGTGAGCTGCTCCAGGACCCTCACCGCCTCCCCTTGCCGCCCGGCCTTGTGGAACGCTACGGAGCACAAGAGCACACAGTTGGGGAGGGGGATGGGGGGGAAATCAGCCAGCGGGCACCTGCAGGGGCTTCTTAGGGAACAGGACAGTTATCCCAAAATCTGTGGCGTTGTGTTGCTAGGATGCTGTCCCTCAGGGCCAAGCATGAGGCTGTGTCCTGCGCTTCTCTAGGCAGATCCTGCCGCTGCGCCACCCCAGGCTTGACACTTGCATCAGGCTTGGTGCAGTCACTGGTGACCTCACTGCATCCTCTTAACGGGCTTTTGAAGAATTACCAACAGACTTCTGGGTATTAGCCACCCCTCTACTTTATGTGCAATGAAATGGGCTTCAGCACGGAAAGGGAGAGGGGCCGCCTCAGCTCAAGTACTTGGGCTGTCTTTCAACTCAGTACTTGTCAATGAAAACCTCTCAAGAGTTGGCTGTCTTCTCGCTGCCAAACATTTGTGAAAATAAGCAAAAAAAAGTTTCTCAATCACTCAGACAATCCATCTATCCATTTAACCGAATTGTCCTGAGGTGCCTAGGACATGGGGGGTGGTCTGCCAGAGCAGCACTTCCAACTGTGGCAGGTGCCCACATGTGGCGCTTGCTTGGTCCAAATCTGCTGTAGAGAAGGAAAAGGTCTTTTTGCCTTTGTGCCATTCTCATCTGCAATCTCCTGTCTGAGCACCAAGTTACTATGGCGATGGATTCTTGGAAGGGCAGACACTGACAGATGGATAGGTTGATGTGTTTTGCCCAAACACACAGATACTTCAGCAACTGGGTGCTCTGGAAATGCCGAAGCAGAGAGAACATGCTGTCCTTCAAAGGGGGCTTTTATCAGAGAAGCTCAAACCGGGAGACATTTGTTCTGCAATGTGTCCGGAGGTGGCAACTGTTGTCCTATCGAAGTGTAAATCAGATGATGTGGAATGTGACACACCTAGCTTCCATGTGGAGACATACTAAGCAGAATCAGGCTTCCCAGGCCGACAGCTTAGCCGCTGTGACTCTGCTCAGTACACTTGGCCTATGCCGCTCTGCAGGGCTCAGGGCTACGTGGTCCAGTGCCCAGCCAGGACGTGACTGAGAAGGCAGTGTTCCAAATCATTACTATTGGCTGACGCTCTGTAATTTCCCTTGCTCCTGCTTTGGATACTGTCATGCCTCTTCAGCAACCCATTTTACTAATGGAAATACCAAGGTGCTGAGCCTACCCAATTTATCTGAGCCAGGCTTTTACCATGGTACAGGGAAAGGCAGGCCAAAGCCTGGGGCCACAGACACTTGGTGGAGGGCCTCATCCTGCTGCAAATCGCAAATCCCCACGCTGCTGCTTCCTGGCTGTGGGACTGCAGGCAAAGCCTCTTCAAACCCTGCTTTTCTTATCTTCAAAATGGGAGCGATAACAGTGCCTACACCATAGGGTTATTGTGGGGATTTAATGGGAGAAAATTCCCAGGCCCAGTGCTTGGCTCCGTCAACAGCATGGCTCAGAGGGGAGAGAGGGATTTGCCTGTGGTGTGCAGTAGCTGAGGGCCGGGCCTAGGTCTGTCTGGCCCAGCGCCCTCCAGAGGGAAGGCTGAGCACCTGCTGCGCCGGGCCAGAGCCCCATGGCAAGAAGCTGCTCTGTTTGCGTGACCTACCTTTCTGGGCTTCCTCAAAGCGGTCGTTCTCGGCCAGCCACTGGGCATAGGGCACATAGATGTCATCCTTAAACTCGGGATGCTTTTCACCCAAAGCAAAGGCCTGGAGCAAGAAGCAAGTGCATTCTCAACACAGCAGCCCCCGCAGCCCCCAGGACAGTGCCGCACTTGGCAGCAGCCATAGAAGGATGTCATATTTTGCCAGCCTGACAACTCAGAGGGGGGGAGTACTCCCCCCTACCAACACCCCCAGAAATGCAAAAACAAATCAGCTCTTTGAAAACAAAAGGCAATTAACAGCAATATGCAAGTGACTGGATTCAATAACAACACAGTCTGTTTCTGGACTACAGAAGCGGTACAAAATCGGAAACATTTTATTTTGAGGGTTTGCGTGGGCTCCTGTCGCGCTGCAAACAGATTTCTTTTAATTGCAGGCGACACCTAAGGAAACAGGATTGACATTATCGTCACCGCTGCTTATTAGCTGTCAAAAGATGATGGTGGGCTTGGTGCAGCATGGGACACAGAACTGCTGCCAGGCCTGGCCTCAGTTTAAGACACAGGACCAGGAGGAGGCTAAGGGGGGCCACGGCAAACTGGGGAGAACTTTGCCGATGCACAGCAAGGGCTGAGCAACTTCAGGGGCTTTATCCATGCTGCCTGAAAAGTCTCCTCAGAATTGTATCTTGAGAAGCCATCACTGATTCGCCACGGGCCCCAGCTCCTTTCACCAGTGACCTTGTCACCTCACCAAATGGGAGCCGTTCAGAGTCCGACAGCTCTTACCAGAAAGGGTCCCGCTGGTCTGTGAAAAAGGTGGGGACTAGCTGGTGGGCTGGGCGCTGCTATGGTGTTTCTAATCCTCCTCTGGGAGAGGTTGCTCTCTAGGGGAGGGGGAGCCCAGAGCAGAGTGGGGCACACTGGCTGCTCTGTCACCTGCCACCTCTCTGTGGGCGTGGCGGAGGGAACTGAGGAGCTAATGCCTGTACCTGGTAAATCTGGGTGGTATTTGGGAAGAAAATGCAACCTAGCAGGGTTTAGAAATCACACGGGCAGCTCCACATCAGAGATGTGCAAGAGCCTGTGGTGACGGTTAGAGGCAACTAAGACCCAACACTGTGCTAACTGTCCCATGCCTAAGCCATGATGCCCAATGGGCAGCCAGGAAAGATGTCCTGAATGAATGAAAGACCCTCCAAGAGGCTCTGGATCAGAGAAGACAAGTGGGCCCCAAAGTCCCATGCACCCACATGCCTATGTTCCAGGGCTCAGGGGTATGCCTAGCCCCTACCTCATCCCAGCGCTGAGTCTCCACATGCAGCTGAACCAAGGACTGGAGGTCGCCGATCTTCAGGTAGGTCTCAGCCGCGTAGCCAGGGTTCTCCAGCTTCTTGAAGTAGTGTGCGCACAGCAGCAGGGGACCCCGCTCGGCCTTGTCCAGCTTGCGGGCAATGTCAATTAACCTGAAGACACAGACGAGGTCTGATAGACTTGGGGTATGTCCACTTCACTTTATGGTGCCTGGAGCTCAAAGCACACAGCTCCAGGACACCCCTGCCCTGCGTCACACACCCTTCCCAGCTGGACCTGGATGGCTGCGTGTAGTGCTCATGGCTCCACAAGCTGCCATGAGGACGATCTTAATGCATCTTCACAACCCTACAAGGTGGCTGTCATGTGCCCCTTGTAGAAACCCTCATAGGAAATGAGGCGAGGGAACAGAGGGCCCCAGGAGGGAGACAGGGCAGGATAAGCTCTGAAGGCAGGCCTGCTGTTAGGTCAGGCTGTCTCTGCTCCCAGCCAGGTGCTGACTGCTGGCACACCACGTCTTTCCCTGGCCTTTAGAAGGCCGGGGAAAGCGGCTGTTAACAGATTCCGTTTTAGAGGCAAGCAAGCTCAAGGAACCTTGTCAATCTGTACTTAGAATACTAATCATATCTAAAAATAACACTCCCAGCAGGGAAAGGACACATTGTTAGGGAAAGGTGGCACTCCTGGGCTCCCCTGCCTCCCCGCACCCGCAACCAAACCAAATGTCCCAATAGGGACTCCTGTGACAGCAGACTTGTCGTCTTTTCCTGAACCAGGTGAGCACCTCCAGGGTAACCTGGTAAGTATCACCTGCAAGTGAAATTGACAAAGGGACAGACAGGACCATCCTTTCTGCAGAGTAACTCTGAGGGCAAGCCTGTGCTCTGCCCTCCAGACTTTCCTCCTAGACAAGAGGAAGGAGTGGGCCACCCAGCAAGGGCCCTCTGTGAGGACCATCATTGTGAAGCATGTCCTCTCTGCTCGTCCAGTCCCACCTACGCTGCTACTGCCTCACTTTAGTGCTGCTTTCAGAGCCATCCAGCAGCTTTCTCTTTACCAGCGGCAGGTGTTACACTTAAAGCCACTCTCCTGTCGGGGAGACAACCTTCATCCTGAAGGTCTGAGGCTCTGAGTGCCAACGTGAGACCCACTCGCTGCATGTCTTCTTGTCCTGGACAACTATCACTTCCAGTCCCTAAGGCTCAGTGTGCATAGTCAGGTCTCAGGGGCGGCAGCTCCCACGTGTCTGTCTCCAGGCCTCTACTTTCCTCTCCTACCTCTGTGCTTTCTCCACAGCACAACCCCAACCAGGGCCCTCAGGACCTAGTGATGGATCCAAGGTCTGGCCCACCCAATTCTCCAGCTTGGAAATTCAAGGTTCTGTTGGGTACTTTGTTTTCCTCTTTTAGTTCCTACGGCGACCACATGGTGCAGGCGTTGAAATTGACCATGTCAGAGTTTGAAGCTTGGCCCACTACTTCCTGGATACCTGACCTAACTTGCACATTTCCTCCTGTGAACCCTCAAGACAGGCAAGGCCTGGGGGGCTCAGCAATGGCAGATTGAATGTCATGCCTTCCCCTTTGTTCTCCGCCACCCTCTCCCCAGGGGCCTGGTATGCTTCTCAAAGGCACTGACTAACATTTTCAATCTCCATGACTCCCAGAGTCTAGTCAGAGCACATTTGGTTTGGATATTCAGAGAAACATTTTTTTTTTCCTTGTCAGTCAAAGCCGAGCGCCGCCATGGCACGACTTGCTGCCAAGTGCTTCCTGGGGCAGGACCGGGACCTACATGTCTACCCAGCCATGGTCGCCGCTGATCTCGATAGCCTTGGCATGCTCTCCCGCCGAGACGTACATCTCTACTGCGGCTTTGGGCTCGTTGATATTTCTGGCCCAGTCAGCCTGTTTGGTGATTAGCATCTTTGTTTCTTTGGGGTCTTCAGATCCAAGGAAATCCTGAGGAAGCACAACAAACAGAAACACTCTGGATTAGGACTTCCTGCTGCCAGCATTACGTCAGGCTGCCGAAAGCTGGAGCAAGGAAGGGCTGCGTTTGGCTGAAGTGGCAGTCCGGATGCAGGCGGGAACCCACTCCGGCACGGGGACTGGGGAACAGTCCCAGGTGTCAGGGAGGAGTGGGTGACTGCCCAACAGGTGTTCCTGAGGGTACAAAGACATTGGACACTGTCAAGGAGTGAGTGTTTCCTGCCCTTTCTACCAACGGACCAGGCTTTCCAGAGCCTGTGGAGTAGCACACACAAACCCTGCCCTGTGGCCAGGCACTCATCTCTTGTGTACAGTTTAACACACAGGTGGCCATCCCTAGATATCACCTGTACATCTGCCCAGTCCAACTTCAAATACTCAGACCCGCATCTTTATTCAGATCGTATGGATGAGACCACATGCCTCACTGAAATAATTTCAAGAGTCCTGGGAAAGCCCCTCTGTTCTCACCCCCCGCACACACACACACACACACACACACAGCTACCACCACAAAGGACTATTGTCATTTCTTTTCGGAAATGTGCAGTTGCCTGAGATTAGGAAGCGATCCATTGGCCTGGCCCCAGATATGTCCTTAGGACAGATAAAGAGAAGAAGCAGTTTTCATTAATTATTGTCTAGCTGAACAGCATCCAATCCTGAGGAGTAGGAAGCCCCTCCAGGGAACAGAGAGAGGGAGGTGGGGCATCTCTGTTGTTTTCACCAGTGGGGCCACTGAAGGTCATGCCCAGCCTCCTGGGGTTGGCCCTAGAATATGTGAGAAACAGTCTCAGATAATCACCTTTTTTTTTTTTAGGATACAGGTATCCAGAATACGAAGGTTAAAAAAAAAAAAAAAAAGATTGCCACTAAGGTTCTAGTTCATACATGCACAGGTTATTCCAAAGAAAACATGTTTAAACACGCCACTGCCATCAGTGCATGGCTGCAGACAACTTCTCTCAGAAATGCTCTTGTCTTAGTCTCATGAGGAGCCATGACGCAAAAAGTCCAATCAAAACACTGGGATCTCATGGGATCTGCTGGACCAGCTGAATTCAAAGCAGAGAGGTCAGCTCAGAAGGTTATTTGTTGTTGTTGTTGTTAGGTGCCATCAAGTCGGTACCGACTCATGGCGACCTTATGCACAGCAGAACGCAACACTGCCCAAATCTAGGTCAACCTCATTACTGTTGCCATGCTTGAGTCCAGCGATGCTGCCACTTGGCCAATCCATCTCGTTGGGGGTCTTCCTGTTTTTCTCTGACCCTCCACCTTACCAAACATGATATCCTTCTCCAGTGACTGGTCCCTCCTGACAATATGTCCAAAGTATGAGAGACGAAGTTTGGCCATCTTGGCATCCAAGGAACACTCTGGCTGCACTTCTTCCAAAACAGATCTAGTGGTTCTTTTGGCAGTCTGTGGCACTTTCAATATTCTCCTCCAACACCATAACTCAAAAGCATCAATTCTTCTATGATCTTCCTTATTCACTGTCCAGCTTTCACATGCATATGAGGTGATTGAAAATACCATGGCTTGGGTCAGGTACACCTTAGTCCTCAAGCTGACATCTTTGCTCTTCAACACTTTAAAAAGCTCTTGTGCAGCAGATTTTCCTAATGCAGTACGTCGTTTGATTTCTTGACTGCTGCTTCCATGAGTGTTGATAGTTGATCCAAGAAGAATGAAGTCCTTGACAACTTCAGTCTTTTCTCCGTTGATAAGAATTTTGTTTATTGGTCCAGTGGGGAGGATTTTTGTTTTCTTGACACTGAGATGTAATTCATCAGTAAATATTTTAAGTCCTCTTCAGGTTGTATCATCTGCATATTGCAGACTGTTAATAAATCTTCCTGCAATCCTGATGGAGACTGCTTTTTCGTGACCTTAAAGGGGTCATCTTGATAGATTTTCTCAAAGAACACAGGACAATCATTGGGGCTTATCATGAAGACATTTTAAGAAAACTGAAAACTGCATTGGTAAGAAAAATGTCAGAAAGTTGTTCCAAGGAATTACCGTCCTACGAGAAGTTCATGGGGAAGTCTTAGCCCAGTCACCTGATCTGATCTCCCCTTTCAGGCTTATTTTTGTTTCCCAGTCTCAAAGAAGATGCCGAAACTGCTGTTTGGAGGCGTTGCAAATCAGAGAGAACAGAATTCTTTGCGGCCAGGGTCAGAGATGGAAACACCACCTTCAATAGTGTACAGACCTAAATGGAAGATGGGCTGAGGAACAACTTTGCGTTTTGATATTTTTCTTTAATAAAGGTGTCTATGATTTTGTAACAGTACTTTTCGACTTACCTGTGTATAACCGTGACGCGTGCCAGCACTGAAGCGTAACTGGTGTTGGCACTTTTAAAGGTGGGCTTCTCAAAAAGGGAACCCCTGGAGTCCTAAGAGCCCAGATCTGCATTACCAGCAAAAAGTGGCTTATCTCTGGAATAATGTACGGAGAGTGCGCCAGAGTCAGCCTCACCAAGGATGAAAAAGCCCTCGTCTCCTCGGGTCAGCACTCATTTGTCAGGAAAGTGCAGTCAATGCGTGTGGAAAACCCTCCAGAACAATTAGCTCCCCTTTTTTCCCCATTTGCTTTCAGGGTAATCTTGTAGCCCCTAAAATCACCAATTAAATGGGGCTAAGACAATCAAATGTTTCAAAAGGGGAGAGAGGAGTTGGGGACCTAATAAAAGACAGGCCCACTCAGCTGACCTCTGGGTCCCTCTGGAATTCACAACAGGAAGGGGCTTAGAAAGCAGCTGCTAACTACCTGAAAATGCCTATTCTGGACCATTAAGGACACACCCTTCACCCTTTGCAGCTACAACATGTCCCCTATGACAGTGCAGTGCTGGAAGCTAACCTGGGTGGTTGGGTGAGGTTTAAGAGCTGGGAGGAAAGGCACTATCAGAGGACAGAAATGTCCTTCCCAGTGTCTTCTGTGAATGACCAAAGGGACTCAGGGGAAGTCAGCCAGGCCCACAGCTCCCAGGTTGGAGGTCCCTATGGTAGCAGCTTAGGGAGTCATGGGTGCATGCAGGCCGAGATGAGCTGGTTCCTTCAAGGCTCAGTCAACTGGGTTTCCAAACCTAGTTGGTTTCATGAACCTAATTTACACGTTTATCTGGGACCATAGCAAAGCCTCTGTCCTGGAGTGGATAGAAAGAGACTGTGCTGAGTGATGAATGAGACTAAACAGGGTTCCCAGGCTTGCTGATTTTGATAAGGATATACTACATAAGAGCTGAACATTACAATTCCCTTTACCACCATATAAACATGTCACTTACCCGGAAAGCATACAATTTATTTGTACGTGGGAATGTAATTTAAAATTTTTCCAAAAACCAGATTGAATCTTGGGAAGCAATTTTCAAGTAAACAAAAACATGCCATGCTAATAAGCACTGTATTTCTACACCCCCTCCCTCCTGCCCCTCAAACCCCCACCATAATGTGTATGTACACATTTTCTCAAATTCAGACTACTAGGAGGGGATCATTGAAATGGAACCAACCTACTTGGAATTGTGATAAAACTCGCACCAAAACAAGCCTCAGAGCATTTACCTTCACAGAGGCGGACTGGATGGGCTGTATTTCTGGGTGGGAGACTGGTGTGCAGAGTCCAACAAAAGCACAAGGGAGGACTTGGTACAGGGACGGGATCTAACCCCTGGGCAGCGGTCTGAGGAACCCACATCCCCCAGTCACATTTGGCCCTCTCGTTTTTTTCTAACCTTCATAAAGCTTAGGGGAAAAAAAGGGCTTTCCCTTTTTCCCAGTGTCTGCAATTCTAAAAACTCAACACAGCTGCAGGCAAGTTACCTCTGAGGAGGGACTCCCTCAGGTCACCACAGGAAGGGCTGGGACTCACTGGATCTCTGGGTGCCCAGGCATTTGCTACCATGTGCTAGCTGCCTACGTGGTGGGGTTCCAGGAAGGAACGGTGGTCCAATGTCCTGGTATTCCTGATGTTGAGATTCTACCTCTGGGGTTCAATCCATTGGCTTAAGGTTTTACCTTCTGTTGAAATTTTGTTATCTCCAGAAAGAGACAAGCACTGATTTGGTGTTCTCAGTAGCACTTCAGTAACTCTGAGTCCTGTATGTGTGTGTGTGTGTGTGTGTGTGTGGAAGACCCAAGCTGAGGAAGAAACAATGGCTGCACCATGAAGCACCCTGGCTTTGAACAGGGAGAGAAGGAAGCACCAAGATGACAAGACAGGCCAGGGGCACGGCTGCTCCTTAGGGACTGCTGAAGCCACACTGCAGGAACCCACACAACTCTCAGCCCCAGGAGACTGCAGATGGTGGAAGATAAAAGGACACGGCCATGTTCAAGAACAGAAAAGCCCAAGAAGAGGGGGGAATGTTTTCCAGCTTGAGCTCATGAGCTCGATGATTACCATTAATAGGCACTAATTGATTGTGGCTGGTGACTCCCTTAACAACAGTTCTGGGAGACTCGTCTGACTCCACCAAGAAAGGAACCTCCTGGGAGAAGCTCCTCCTGCCTTGAGAGGCCCAAGATTCTTTTAACCTCAAATTTGGCCAAGCTGCAATGTCTTTTCTCACCAAAGCCATTGGGGACCTTCTCTCCCCCACAGCCCTTTAAAGGCCCACACCTGCTGGGGGCTGGCTTTACTGGGAGAGCAGTACCACCACAACCTGGATGCATGTGGAGCTACCCTGGGCCAGCTGCAGGGGGCACATCATGTTCATGCCTGAGGACATGGACTCTTGGTGACGCCACACACACTGAGAGGCTGTGGGGGAGACTTTGCCCTGCTCCCTGGATGCTCAGATGCCCAGCCCCTCCAGCCTCATCGCTGCTGGAGGTCTCAGCTGCAATCCATTTGATGCCAACCTTCGAGGGTAGGTTTAGGTCACTTTTGCCCAGTAGCCACGGGAGGTGCCTCTGTTTATCAATTTGCCCATATGCTTTCTGAAGCTCTTGCTGTTTTCTGCCCACACCACTTTTGGGGGTACACAGCTTGGATTGCTATTGTTGTTGTATGCTGTTGAGTCAGTTCTGACTCATAGCGACCCTGGTACAGGGGTTCCCTAGGAGCAACTACTGATCGTGTGGTTCACAGTCCAGTGCTGATCCTACAGCACCGCACCAGTGATAGATACCACAGTGTAAAGACCCTGGTGGGTTCCAGTGGCAACCAGCGGGCTGTAAGTGGGTTACCTTGGCGTACTCAAACATACGGAGGTCGGTGTACATGTCGAGAGCAAGGCTGTCGCGCCCGCTCCTCTTGTAAAGTTTGGCGGCTTCATGGAACTTCCCCTGGTAGGCAAACACATCTGCCAGAAACAGGTCATTGTTGCTCTCTCCCCGCTTCTTCCTCTCCTGGAAAAATTAGAAGCACAGGAAATGGCTTCTGCAGTCAAGGGCAGGAAGCAGCCTTTACAAAGGTTACAAGTTGCTATTTCAAGCTAAGCCCCTGGGCCTTCCTACTGGAATCTCCCCTGGGCTGCTGGATCTCTCACCTAGGTTTCTGGTGGGAATGGGCAACAAAAAAAAATCAGAATTTTTTTTCCCCCCACCAGAGTAGCAAAGATCAAAAAAGACCACAAAGATGCAAACCTTTGTTTGTTTAATGGAAATTCTTCAGGGTCGCTTTCCGGTATTTTCTTCCAAGGCCAACAGCAGGGAAGTGAGGGTAGTGTGTGCTGCCAACTACTGGAGCCTCTGTGCTCCCAAGACCCACAATACCCCAGGCCTGGCCCGACTTGTGGCCAGGATGATGACATGCAAAGAGAACATTTAGGATTTCTGACCAGAAGAGGACCAAGATAACAAGTCTTACTATGTTGCTATTTCTTGACAGAAGGTAAGTAATAACATGTGTTGAGCACCCACTGGTGGTGGTGGTGGTGGTGTGCCATAGAGTCGGTTCCCATTCATAGCAACCCTGCAGGGGGTTTTTGAGGCTGGAGATCTTAATGGGAGCAACTAGTGGATTCAAACTGCTGGCCTTGTGGTTAGCAGCCCAGCTCGTACCCCGCCACACTACCAGGGCCCCTTGAGCATCGGCCAGGTGCCATGTATACAATTTATGTCCCAAACCCACCAGATGCCATCAAGTGGATTCCAACTCATGGCCACTCCACGTGTTGCTTATAGTAGTACTCCAACAGGGTTTTCAAGCCCTTTTGGAAGCAGATTGCCAGACCTTTCTTACACAGCACCTTTTGGTTAGTAATCAAACACCACCTGCACCACGCAGGAACTCCTATTTTATGCACACCACCCATAAGGACATACTAGTAGGCACGCATACATACACACACAGATGCCTAGCAGTGCTGAGGATAAAGAGGAATAATTCACCATTCCTGTGTTAGGGAACATTCATTAGTCTATAACTCAAGTATTTGTCAACACTCAATAGCACCCAATCTCTCATTCCCAGCAGTTTCCTTTTGCTTGTTTTCTAGCAAGTGTATCACAGTAGAGGAAGATGAGACACTGAATCAAACTCCTAGACAAGCTGGTGAAAAGTTTTAACAGCTGGAAGCAACATGCGTCCTCACTGACAGAAAGAATTAAAAAGCAACCCCCCCAACCCTACACATAGTTTGGGCTAATCAGTCAAATAAACGAAATCTTAGTAATAGGAAATGAATTCAAACCATGCAGTGAGATCAAGAAACAGGTGGCACTAGGCATGGGGTTAGGCCTTACCCATCCTAAGCCAGACTGTCCCCACTGTCCTAATATAGGGACTTAGATTCCAGATGCACACAACCATCGGGGCAGATTTCTCTCTTGCAACAAGTACAGAAACATCTCACCTACCCAAGAGGAGTCTACTAAGGAACCTCAGTTCTCTGGCACAGGGATTGAAGACCTAAAAGTAAACAATCAAAACCTCAGAGATGCCCAGGTGGACTTTGAGAGATAATTCTTAGTTTATTTTAACAGACTCCCCAGCTCACAGCATATTAAAGAGGAAGACATCTTGAATCATCATCTTAACATCAGTTAAGACATGATGAATGATCAAAGATGGCCCTCCCCTCTCAGAGCCCCATTCTTTTTTGCATAGAGAAAAATCAGATTCCGGGGCCTCAGATGAAAACACTTGAGTCGACTGATCATCAGTGACCCGGGAAGTGTGCAGAGGACTGGTGCAGAACAAACCCTGGACCATGGCAAGCAGGTGACACAACAGACCCTCTCCATCATCATGGTGCTGGGTAGGCATGGGTGGGAGGGGCCAGCTCTGCAAAGAAGTAGAGGAAAGAAGGCTGGGAAACACACAAAGCTGTGTTTCAATTCCAACTGACCTTGTGGTGACGGGCCCTCAGGTAGGTAACTTAGCCTTTCTGGGCCTTGAGTTTCCTCATCTATAAACAAGGGCTCAGGGCACCTGACTGCCTGGGTCACTGCCTGGATCTGCGGTAATGTGCACATCACCGAGCCCAGGGCCTGGAACAGACACTCTGCGCATGCTGACTGTTATTAGGATGAACAGGCATCTCCCCTCCTCCTCTCTTTCCCCACTGCGCCTGGCACAGGGCTTGGCCCACAGCAAGTGTTTATTATGCTGAACGGAACTGAAGGGACAAGACATTTTGCTGATTTCCTCACTGCTTCCATATGGGAATTCAAATGTATCTCACATTTCCATAGCCTCACAATAAATCTGTGCAGGAGAGAAAATATGTATGCCTATTTACAGACAGCCAGATAGCACAGAGACTCACAAATTCAGAGCACGGTCCACCATTCCCAGACTGGCTGACCATCCCAGCCCTGTCTCGTCTGCTCGACAAGGCCCTGTGCTCAGCTAGGAGTGGTGGGGCGGGGTGGGAAGGCGCAGTGTCCCTGTGCGCCTCCCTTCCTAGTCTCTTTGCTGGAGGTACAGTGCCGAACAGGTGAGCAGCACCTCTAATACAGCTGTCAGCCGAAAGGTCAGAGCTCCAAACCCACTGTGGGAGGAAAGATTAGGCAATCTGTTCCCCAAAACTTACAGCCTAGGAAACCTTTGGTGGGTCCTATAGGAGTCCTGGTGTGGCGCTGTGGGCTAATGCGTCAGACTGCAAAGTCGTTTGAACCACAAGGTCGGTGGTTCAAGCTTACCAGCCGCTCCTTGGAAACCCTATACAGGGTTGCTATGGGTCGGAACCGACTCGATGGCACTTCACAACAACAACAACAACATAAGGTTGAAGGAGTCAGAATCCACTCGATGGCAGATTGTTAACCACTGAGAATGACTAAAATGGTTATAAGAGGCTAAAAGTCAGCACCAGCATGAACACCCGTTACTAAGTGTTTACTGAATCCTCACAGCCACCCTGCAGAGAAGGCCTTACTGTCCCAAAGCTCGGAGTGACCAGGAACCCACACAGCATCTTGGCAGCCCCTCCCCTCTCTGCTGCACTGACACCTGTCCTCAATGCTCTCAATGTGGGGAGGGCTGCGGGCTCCTGGGAAGGAAGAACACATGGCTCATTTTCTTACCTCAATGCTGTTGATGAGCTCCAAGTATCGGAGGTCTTGTACTCGGGTGAAGGCCTGCAGGGGAAGAAATGAAGAAGAAAATTAGCTATCTTCTGGGCTTCAAAAGGGGGTGATTGGTGGCGGGGGGAAGGCAAGCTTTACAAAGTGGGCCAGGAAGGAGGGGGGAAAGCTAGAGTGCATGAATCGCTGTGTTTATGTGGCTTACGACACTACTCCGTGAAGCAAGGCTTTCTCTCTGTGATTAGCCTATTGACAAAAAAAAAAAAACAAAAACCAAAAAACAGCAAAGAAGTCCTGCCTGGCGCAATCACATTGGGATTAGGTCAAAGAAAACCATGACGGTGCACTGGGTGAAGATGCCTGCCTGGGGAAGGCTCCTTCTACAGGAAAACAGCCACTCCCCGTCCCCCGACTGCCTGACAGTCTGAGTGGGTGAGATGCAAGAGGGGAGGGGGACAGAACAGGAGGCTGGAAAGCATTCCTTCCTTCACTCCTTACCTCAAGTTCTAGATGGAAACCTACTCAGAGGCTACAAGCACACGAGATCATTTAGAAAGCATGAGCCAGCTTTGCTTACTGAAGAGGTTGTTGTTGTTGTTAAGTGCCGTAGAGTCGGTTCCGACCCATAGCGACCCTGTACAGGGATTCCGAGGGTTGTAAATCTTTACGGGAGCAGAACGCCTCATCTTTCTCCTGCGGAGTGGCTGGTAGTTTCGAACTGCTGGCCTTAAGGTTTGTAGCCCGATTCATAACCACTACCCTACCAGAGCTCCTTACTAGGGTGCAATAAACAAGGGCATCTGGAGCTCACCTACTGGGGAGAAGGAGAGTTAAGAAGACATAGAGATGGCTTTGGGAAGAAGTAGGGACTAAATCACTTGGAGTCCCAGGAAGACAAAAACTTAAGTAAATCCTTAAAGTTCATCCTTTGCTTTGGACTCTTTATGCCAGAGATTCTAAAATCCCTGAGCTGCAAGCAATTTGGAAGCTGCCCCTCCCCTCAGGTAGACTAATACTAGCGAAACGTCTTCCCCTTCTTACAGATTCTGACAGGGGTTCAGGGAAGCCAGACCCCCACATCGGAGGTGCAACTACGTTTCCATCTAGTTGTCTGTCCTTCTCTAGATTCCTGCATGAATTGGGCCAACATTTGCCCAGGGAAGCAACGCTGGGAGCCTTCAGCATTTAAAATGCTGACAGCATCTCCATCCTGAAAGGCCCAGGGCAGGCTGAGCGCTTTCCAGCTGTTCATTCCCACAGGGTTGGGGCCACTCTTAGAAGGGGCAGCACATTACTAGGTCTGCCTGAGCTTGGGAACTGTGGAGTGTGAGCACACCGGGAGCGTGGGGACTGAGGCATCAAAGACATCGGGATCTCCTGGATTCCTGGGAAGGGCGCTGGGCTAAGAGCGCCTGCTTCACACTGAAGTCTGATCAGCAACACTTGTAAGAGAGGGGGACTCTGCACTGCCTGGTGACTGGAGAGGGCCTGAGGGAGAGGAAAGGGGCATTCCAGACCTCAGTGGAGCTCTGGGACTTTCCAGCTGTGGGGCCCACGCCTGCTTCTCATCCCAGGACTCCCACACCTTCTTTGTGCAAAGGGTAAAGGGAGTGATGCCTCTCCAAGGTTCTTTCTAGCAGTGCTGGGCTAGGATTCTGGTTCCCCTTAGGAAGCTTTGTCCAAGTTCCTTCAGCCCAGACAGTCTTCAGTGTCAGGGAGCCTGGTGGCAGTGGTCAGTCACATGGCCTGTGAGTCAGCTCAGCGGGTGGAAGTGAAGGAAAGTGTGGGAACAGGCTGCATTCGGGCCATGAGCAGCTCTCTTCTGTCATCTAGTGGTGAGGCTGGTCTTCTGCTGGGAAACACACACACACACACACACACACACACACACCCCACCCAGCCCCATCTCCAGATCTCAGGCTGAAAAAGGAAGGCCTGGGGACTTCAATAAAACGATGACGTTCTAGTCTGTGGTCCAAATCCTGCAGCTTTAAACCAGGGACTGTTTGAGAGGATCGGGTCAGGAGTTCAAAGTTAAGCCCTGAAATGTGTAAGACAGCCTGCAAGATGAGGAGAGTGATGTTAAGATGCAGAAGCCACCGAGCTCCTGGGTGAGGAGATGACAATGCAGTAGGGAGACCTCTGTTCCCATCGCAATGCCTGGCTGGGCTGGGTGAGGCCAGGGAGGGAGGCTCAGATCCTAAGCCTCTCTTACCATGTTCCTGATACTTAATAGACTTATATAATCGAGATAATTGTGATTACATACCAATCATTTTACTTGTTTTAATAACGGTTAACATTTGTACAACCATTTCCAGTTTTAAAATCCCTTTTGTAAACGTCTTGTTTAAGACACAAACACTGTGTGAGACACAGGAAGCCAGACCACACAGCAGAGCCGGTTCTCACCCAGGCCTCCGCATACTAGCCTGGACCTGACCTCAGAACCTGGGGAAAAGTGTCAGCTTTGCTGTCCTCACAGAAAGAGGGAAGGGAGGAGAGAGGATGCCTTCTCACATGGAAACCCAACTCAGAGATGTGGATAGGGCTTTCAAAGGCGCAGAAAGGATCAAGCATTTTTCAGCCGTCTCTGGAGCTCTCTGTAGGGTAAGCACTGTAACCCATGGTTTGGTTTGAACCTCAAGGTTGGTGGTTCAAACTCACCAGTTGCTCCTCAGAAACCCTACACAGGATCGCTATGCGCTGGAACCAACTAGACAGCACTTAACAACAGACTAAGGCGGGAAATGGCACACTGTGAACCAAGTCCACGAGTGTGTCTGTGCTCCCATGAAGGTTTGTGGGAAGTGACCACATTCTACTCAGAATCCGAGAGCTTGACCATCTCTCCTTCAGTGTGCTGACAGGAAGTGCCTTGCTTAATAAATGGCATAATGCTATGTCAATGAGACAAGATACTATTTACAAGCTACATTATCTGCTAGGTGAGGTGCTTTACATAACTAATAGCTAACGAGAGTGACAGCTGGAATAGAGCCAATGTGTGTCTTGTGTCAGGCTTCACGTACCTTACAAGTCTGCCAGGATGGCTCTTGCCGCCACCCTCATTTTACAGACCTGCGCAGGGTCCCTGCGAGAAAGTGGCCATGCCAAGATTTGGAATGAGGTTGGGCTTTGCTCCAAGCCACTGCAGCATGCTTCTCCCAAGTCACCTAGACCCATTCTCTCTCCTGATGGGGCCCTCCAAGTACCAGACTCCATCTCATGCTGACTGATTCGATGTTTACCTTCTTTGCAGTTTCAAACTCTAATCCTTCTAAAGCTTCCATGGCCAGCTCACGCCAATCAGTGTCTGTCACGCCCAAACAAGCGATCTGGTAGGCTTCCTTGAACATTTTCCGATCCAGGTACTGGTACATCGGAGCAGACTGCAGGGCATCATCAAAAGGAAAAAAGGTGACTTTCAAAGCAATGGAAAGAGTCAGAGTTCTATAAAGCCAGACCCAGATGTGTGGGAAGATATCATTGCAACTGCCCATGGAGTATTGCCACACTGATTACACAGGACTGCCTCAGCCTCACCCAGCAACCTCTTCTCAGAGCTGAACCACAGGAGTGAGCCACACAAACCTCCCTCCCATCCTCCCCACAGCAGGCCTCACACGCTTCACCCCTGGAGAACACTGGCTTGGCTTCTGAGGCTGTTCAATATTATCTCTTCTGAAAAGTCATCCCTGATCCCTCAGCCCCAGCCCCAGCCCTCAGGCTGTGAGGTGATTACACGTAGGAGCCCAGGAACCACCTGAGGCAGGCCCCCTCCTCTATGTTCCGTGAAGAAATGAGCATCATGAAGAAGGATCTGAGTGAACCTCTGCTTTGAGGGACTTGAGCCACACATGGGCTCTTGAATCTATGCCAAAGGCCTGAGTAGCAGGGATTGTTACTCCTTAATTTACAGTTCAGGAGATGGAGAGTCAGAGGATAAATGACTTGTCCAAGGACTAGTAAATGAAAGGTCTGGGGCTGGAGCCCAGGGTGGCCTGACTCCAGGTCCTGGCGTGTGTGTGTGTGTGTGTGTGTGTGTGTGTGTGTGTGTAAACAAGGAGAGCTGGGCCTGGACACTTTGACAACTTAAGGTCTTGCTCTTGTTTTAGGCCAGTCCATGTGGCTTAAGGAAGCAGCATCTCTCCTTCTGGGCAGCAAAGCTCAATCAGCCAGTACCTCTGTGCTAATGATCCCCAAATATGGAGCTGGGAGTGCTGCCTTCTCCATTTAGGGCCTTTTGCTTGGAAATTTCCTGTCCCAATTTTTAGTTTTAGCACTGAAGCAAAAAATTTTTTTTTCCTTTTAAGACTTTGACAGCAAGATGTAGGGCTTCCCGAGTACTTCCCTCTTCAACTGCACCAGCTCCGCCTACGCTCCCTCCTCTAGCTAGCAGGGTGGGAACTGCGCAGCCGCTGAGCTGAAACCCAGGCCTCCCTCAGCCCATCCCAGCTGGGTGACTTTGGTAGCATAGTGATTACGAGTTGGGCTGCCAACCTCAAGGTCAACAGTTCGAAACTACCAGCGGTTCCCCAAGAGAAAGACGAGGCTTTCTGCTCCTATAAAGATTTACAGTCTTGGAAACCCTGTGCAGACTCACTATGAGTCGGAACCAACTCCACGGTACTTAACAATGAGCCAGTCAATTCCGGCCTCTGCTGAACTCACACCAACTCCTCACCAGGCCCCTTGTTCCTACATCCACCTCTGCCTTCTCTGAAAGACCCCTGGGCCGTGGGGCCCCTGGCTGACTGTTCTTCCCTCACTGGGCTCGGTTTGAGTTTCCTGCAAGTTAACTTCCCAAACTCCCCATCCACCAGGTTTCATCCTTTCTAAACCCTCTGTTCCAACTTCATTCTGTATTGTAACGTTTGTTACTTTACGATGGTCTGTAATACTAACAGGAATACAGAATAGGAACAGGCCAGATAAAACCCGAAAGATGGGTATAACTAGCCCCATGTCACAAAAATGAAATGGAGGCCTAAGCAGTGAGCAGCACTGTGCAAAGCCACAGCTGGACCTCGTGGCCGATGCAGGATCTGACACTGGGCCTGCTCTCTCTCGGACTGAGTGTCCCATGGGGTGGGACGGGGGCTCAGACAGGCATATTACAGGCAGACAACTAATGGCCAACCCCCAGGCTTCCCTGGAAGGCACAAGTTGAGAGAGAAAGTCACAGGAATCTTCAATATGCTAACTGTTAGCACCCCCATCCCCACCCCCCAGTGCTCTACTTTGTACCTCACGGTTGCTTTTCAAACTACAAGGTGCTACAGGGCCAGCGCCTAGCCTACCTGTGTCTTTAAGTCAGGTGAGTCAGAATAGGTGCAGGGCTCCCATTAGCCTGACTTTAGTGTAAGAAGAGGCTTTAAGGCTTTCATGGATTAAACACTGCATATGCAGCAAGTGAAGGTGATTGCAATGACAAACCTGTGAGTAAGGGATTGGTTCAAGGAGACTTTCTGCTCTCGTGAAGGTTTATAGCCTCGGAAACCCCATACAAGGTGGTTTTGCATCAGAACCGATTCAATGACTCAGGGTACACCACCACCAGCACTGGGGTTGGCTGGATGAGCTCAAAGTGAGGACAAACTAATGAACACTAAAGAGTTCTGGGGTGGCACTGTAGGGTCAGCGCTGGGCTGCTAATGCAAGGCCAGTGGTTCAAACCCACCAGCCACGCCTCAGAAATCCTATACAGGATCCCTATGAGTTAGAAACCATTCGACAGCACTTAACAAAAAAAAGGCAAATACAGCTGTGAGCTGCCTGTTAAGTTGGGGTTTGTAACGCAAAGGCTTACTGTACCTCCTTCTCCCCCAACCAGGAACTCCAACTAGGACTTTACTTGCTACCCTACTTGGCAGCACAGAGAAACCAGTTCTTGCACAAGATGATTTCGAAAGGAAACCAGAAATCCCCAGGGTGAGTCTGATGCTTTCTTTATCCCTCCCTTCCCCCCTTCCTCCCCTTTAGGCCAAAACCACAGGAGGCTGGAGGCAGAGGCTACAACAGAGAAGCAGTCTTTGTCTAGAGGCTGTTTCCTAACCCTTGGCAGTTCCAAGCTGCTGCATCAGCAGGATGGCCTCAGGGAGACTTTGGTCCTGGCACAGGAAGTCCCAGCTGCCCCTTTGGCTCCCCTTGGCTGGCCAAAGTCAGGGAGCAGCAAACTGCATTGATTTTTGAGGTCAGGATGGCAATCCTGGGAGAAAACCTTGCATAAGCGTTGCCCACATGCATGACTGAGGGAGACTGACTGGGTTTCTGGTGGGTGTGGCATGGGGGCTGCAGGGAAGCAGCCCAGGAGAAGCTGTCTTGGGTCCCCTTCCATCCCCCTGACCTCCCTACTTTCTCCTGTTTCCTTCTCGTCACCTCTTCTACTCTGATTTATTAACTGCTCTCTGTCAGGGATTTTACAGCAGTTAGGAGACTGATAAAACCCAGGTGAGGGGCAATCTAGAAATTTGTCCAGAAGACTTTAAAAGGTATATACCCTACGGCCCAGTGATTTCTCTTCTAGGAATTAATACCAAGGGGCTAATTCAGGACAGATGCAAAGATTTTGTTAGAAGGTTCAGTTTTTGTTGTTGTTATGTGTCATCGAGTCGGTTCCGACCCATAGCGACCCTGTACAGGGTTTGATAGGAGCAGCTGGTGAGCTTGAACCTCTGATTTAGCAGTTCAAATGACTACTGCAGTGCTATTTATAGTAGGCAAACAAAACCAAAAAAAAATAAAGGTGGCGGCAGTATAACCATCCCATAGATGCTGACTGGGAGTCCTGGTATGGTGCTGTGGGTTAATGCGCCAGACTGCAAAGCTGTTTGAACTGCAAGATTGGTGGTTCAAGCTCACCAGCTGCTCCTCAGAAATGCTGTATGGGACAGAACTGACTGGACAACACTTCACAACAAGAAGGTGCTCACACTGAGTACACAGCCTGAGGGCCAGCACCCATCTGAGAAAGATGGGGGGTTGTATCCGTGTCCGTCCCCTGGCTGTGACTAAATGGCACAGATTGGAGGCAGGATCCTCTGTGTTCTTTCTTTCAAATGCATGTGGACCTACAACGATCTTATACGTGAAAATGTTGAAGTTCGTTATGGTCCTGGATCCGTGTTTCCAGCACATTGCTGAGTGGGAAAGTCAGAGTGCTCATTTCGATGACCAGCTTAAAGATCTTAATTTGTACCAAGTGGTGCAAAAGCACTAGACCAGCATGAGACTGGATGAAGAGATGGCAATGAGGATGGTGGTGAAACATCTCCGTTTCTTGTTCATGGTCCACGTTCAATAAAGTAAGGGCAGGAAATCATAGGCTTCATCCATAGGTCACAACACTCAAACCCATGACACGGTATTTACACTTTGATTGCATTTTCTGATTAAAAATATTTACACAGAGCTCTATACTTGTCTTATAGATGATACCGAAGGTACCCTGGTGGTGCAGTGGGTGACGTGATCCAAGGAACCACTCAGTGGGAGAAAGCTCTGGCAGTCTGCTTCTGTAGAGATGAGAGTTTGGGAAACCCTACAAGGCAGTCCCACTCTGCCCTGAATGGCTGGTATGAACTGGAATCAACTTGACAACAGGGAGTTTGGTTTTTATACGAGGCAGCTTCAGAAAGTTTGTGGGAAAATGCCATTATCTTTTAATTCTATACTAATAAAGAAAAAAGTCTGGGTGCTGCATGAGGATTGAAGAGGGTGGGATTCTCTCTCAAGATGGTTCTGGAGCTTATCCCTAATTTTTGACTGTTTTATCGTGAGCTTGATTTTCTTATCAGGCAGCTGCGGCAGCTGTGACGGGACAGCTACCACTGGGCTGTCTGTGTTTCTGCCCTTCCCCCTTTCCCTGGTGCTGCACTCTAGCCCCCCATTTCTGTTTGGCTATCTCCTAGTCCAGAGGACTTGTGCACACAGTCCCAGGCTCCTTGTGCAGCCCACAAACCCACCCCATGTGTTTTCTCTCTCTCCCCCCCCCGCACCCCCTCCCCCACACATGAACCTCCATGTGCCGTATGTATTCCTGGCTCATTCCACTCTGAGCCACATGACTCTCAGTGAAACACACTTACAGGGAAGGATGTGAGGCTAAGCTACTTACCCGAAGCAACATAGGTTACGTGGGATGGAATAGGGCTTCCTTCAGGTCCATATCTTGACTGCCTTCATGGTAAGCTAGCTGCCCCTCTCCTTATTACCTCTAGAACACCAGTGAGATGCCAGGCTGCCTAGGTTCTATCTGTCCTACCACCCACAAGAGCCAAAAGGCACCCCCCATTACCTGTGGCACCTCCACAGCTGACATGGAGAAGACGTGGAGGCAGAAGATCTTGGACCCGTTGTAGCCCACCACAAAGCCCTGTAGCTTCTGCTGGTGCACGGGGAAGGTGCTGGCTTTGATGTTGAGGTAGCCTCCCCCCGAGAAACAGAGCATGTCTTCACATTGGGTGTTCCAGGCCACACTGTTGGCATTTGGTTCCTAGGAGACAGGGGCAGTGAGATCCTGTCAGACAACCCCAGGCTTTGGTCGGAACCCCTCATTTGATAACAGTCAGATGGATGAAAGAGGAGAAAAGTGGAGTCAGAAAGAAATGGCTAGAGACACAGGTCTAAGCTCCTTCTGTGCACTTCTGCGTTGTTTGAATTTCAGTGTGAGCAGGCATCACTTTAGAAAACGTTTCTGATTACCACTACCTAGAAAGGGTAGCACCCTGTCATTCTATGCAGTAGATCTAGGCTCAACTTCCAGCCAGTGCCCCACATGCATAGTTACCTGTTCCACATCATAGCAACAGGTGGTTATCAGCAGAGCTTCCAAACTAAGAAAATGAGCAAGGGCTGGCTACCAACTTCCGAAAACTAGCCTATGAACATCCTACGGATGACAACCATCTGGTATGCAACCAATGGGGAATGGCCAGGATGGGACATTATTTCCTTCTGTTGTGTACAACATCCCCCTGTGTGCCAGGGGCTCGTCTTGACATCCGTTCAAGACAACAATAACCGAGTGATCAGCAATAAAATCCGCAAATAGACCTGGAGTCTCAGGACCAAAGGCTCAGGAACACCGTGATCAACTGACATAACACAGTCCACAAGGACAATGCTCTGCATCCTATTTTTGTGAATAGCAACTGGGTTCTTAATCAAGCTCTCCAAAATCAAAGATAAGGAGAGAATCCTAAAAACAGGGTGGGAAAAGAGAAATGTTACTTATAAAGGCAAGCAAATCAGATTAAGCTGTGGCTATTCAGCAGAAACCATGCTTGCAGGCAATGGGGAGACATATACAAAATCCTAAAAGAAAAAAAACTGCCAACCAAGAATCGTCTATCCAGCAAAACTGTCAATCAAATACAATGATGCAATCAAAGCATTCCAGGATAAACAGAAGCTAAGAGATTTTGTCAAAGCCAATCCAACACTTCAAAACATCCTAAAGGGAGTTCTTTGGACTGAAAACCAACAAGAACAGACAAACAGAGATTGACAGGTGTGGCAACACCACCTGAAACTCACACGATGGCTAGCAGTGTACAGAACAGAACAAGATTACAACAACGAATTCAAAGGAGCTGGGAAGTCAACCGAAGATCAAGATAATAATAATATCAAAGAAGGGGAAAATGTAGGAACAGAGACCCAGGTGATGAGGAGGTCAGGTAGATTACAGGATACAATAGATTGTCTTAAATGGAGGGAAAAGTTAATAGACTATAAGGTAACCCCAAAGAAAGTTAATACTTCACAACTTACCATGAAAATGAACTTCCAAGCAGAACAAGCAAACATGAAAACTAAGTAGAAACTGACAAGAAACAGCACAAGAGTGACCATCTTAGGTGCAACCACTGGTCTCTCCATGTGCACAGGAAAGAACAGTGATGAACTGTTCCAATGGCTTTAACGGAACACAACTGCTCCAATGGCTTTAACGGAACACAATGAACATCAGTCTTCAAGACCCTGAGCCAGCTCCCACCACCAACCGCTCTGAAAGGGATCACATTAGAAGGTCCCGCGATAGTGTAGAGTAAAATGTAGAACAAAAGTCAAGGCTATAAAAAAGACTGGGCTTACTGGTCAGAAAGAGACCAGAGGAATCCAAGACTATGACCCTAAGTCACTGTTCAGGTGTGGAACTCACTTCACCCTTGTGGTCCAACTTTCAACCAGCAGTAGATACATATATACTGTTGTGTGGGTGGAATTGTGGGTACTTTCTACTTCATTTCTTTTTTGTTTGCATGGATTTTTTTTTTTCTTTTGTCATGAA